AAACATATCGCTGCTTTATGATAAACTGAAAAATCCCTAAAAAGACATGTTTTATAATTTTGCATGTAATGTTAATAGTGTACAAGAAAGTTTGGAAATCTACTTCTAAGTTAGTCGATAACGTATTCAATGTCTGCGTAAGTTAAGTATAATGAATACAAGTAGTCATCGGTTTGTTGATTTCTTATCAATCAAATTGCAATGAATCATTTTATGACTAGAAATTATACATCAATATTTACTTGTAATAAGAACAATGCAGAACGTAATAAAACAGTAGTCAGATTTCTGGTTCTTTTAGCAATTAAAGTTGTGTCAACTTAACACTAATAAAATGAACGTGATATTTGAGTTTTCAACTAAATAAGCCACAACACTATGATAATCTGTCTCATATCTATTATAGTGCCAGCTTAAGTTGTTTTAAAAGATCTATATTTTATGAAATAAAGTTATAACGAAATGGTTTTATTGTAAATCTATTACTTACTTACTTACTCTGCCCACTAGGATTCTCCGTCGCTCTCTATTCTGAGCAATCCTTTTCAGTTGTTTTCAGTTGCTATTCATTCCCTTCATGTGTGCCTTCAATTCCCGACGCAGTGTGTTTCTTGGTCTTCCTTTTCTTCCTTTTCCCTTCAGAATTCCAAGTTATCGCTTACCTAGTGATTCAGTTTGATGATTACCTCAATGTATTATGTCCTATGCACCTCGAGCGTCATTCCCTAATTCGCTCTTTAGTTAGAAGCTGGTTTGTTTTCTGCCACTTTAGTTCTTCTAAGATTACTAGCACCTCCAAGCTCAGATAAGGAAGAAGGGTTATATATGGAGTCAACGACCGCATCCTGTATAAAAACAACTTTTCTAAAAAACGCTAACCGGAGTAAACACTGTAAATTTATTATTTTAGTATAATTAGTAAAATGATAAAACCATTAAGTATTTATGTGTATTTGACGTAAGTTTCTCTGATGAATATGATCTTCATTAGAATAACATCAAATGGAATGTAACTATTTGAATATAAACTTAAATATTTGACTGAGAACAGATCATTTCTTTTTATTTTATATAATAAAAACACTTTGATGACGATAAGGATACTTGAGGAATCGTCTAGAATAAAAATCCTCTGCTTTCTATGATTCATACTAATGAATAAGGCAATAAAAACGAAATCAGACAGCTATTTTTAGTCAACGTTATCATCTTTATATTTTACCTATAAAAGAAAATCGGTTAGTAATTTGATAAAAATATATCAAATACATATTGACATGGATATGATTGGTACATCATTGAGACAGACTATCAATAAGTAGAATAAAAATCATATTAATAATGGTTAATTATATGTTTAAGTAAGGATGTGGTGTGTGCTACTTAAATCGACATAAGTAGTATATGACGTTTGTCAGGAATAGAATGTCTGTCAGCAGAGAGACAAGATGATCGAACAGTAAAGAATGGGAAGAGAATGCAGTTTGTATAAAAATGCAAGAGCAATGAAGTCTGAGTCGATTTAAGACAACTGATGGACATTTTGCATGTTGAGCATGGTTCTCAGATTTTATTGAGATACTCTGTAATTTTGTGCTCAAATACGTTCGATTGTCCCCACTAGTGTTCTTGTTCACTATAAGCATACCAACCATTGAATCAATCTTTAAGTATCTTGTATCATGATTCAAAATTAATTGTAATTTTTCTTAATGTTGATTAAAAAGTAAAAGCATTAATATGAAGGTATTTCAGTTTAGCGTATTTCTTCTATGATATTAAAATGTACATCATATTTATCAACAGACAGTTTAATAAGTAACTTTTTTTTAGTATCAAAATGAAAAGATAAAAACTAATTGAAATGGTATTATTTCACCTGAATTATTATGAAACACCAGGTTGATAATGTTTTTTACTAGCATTGAAAAACAGAAAGCATTCGACAGCTGTGTCATTCTACAGTGTGACTATTCAGTAGTGCACGTACACAACTAAAGAAATTTTGCTTAGCGAAAGGCATATAACCTCTGGATCATTGAGTCTGAGTTTCCCTTGACTAGTTAGGTCCAGTCATATCGAGTGTTAGTAATCTACCATCCAACGTCATGATTATAAACAATAATAAATGAGCATAACAAGTAATTTTGTGTTGTATACACTCACACCATTATATTCATGTGCAGTAGAATGCTTGAGAAAAATGAGACGTTTTCCTACTTACACAACGAATCACCACTGATAATTATATCCAGTCATTTATACTAACCAATGTTAGTATGAAGAGTGAGATTGCATATATAGAAACAAAAGTTTAATGATATGATTTATGCTAATTAAATATTGTGGAAGGAAACCAAAGGAATATTCTTGAAATCAATGTCGAAGAATTCATTAACTAGTTGACACTAACCATCTGAAAGATTCTTACCATCATCCATAATGTTTACAAGAACAAATTAAGAAAAACATGAAATTAATCACAATAATTGTCTTTGAGTATGATAAATAAGCTGTTTTAAATGTTCAATGATTCATGTTGTAGACTACATTGATCTGAATAATGAAGTTGTAAGTGTAAAACATCTAATATAAATGAATTTGTCAAGTATACGTCTATGGTAATGTTGAGTAAGAGATATTAAATTGATGATAGTGGTCATGTTTGGATTGTTCTACGTGAACGTGGACACCAGTTAATGTGTGATACTATTAATAAGCTGAGTGAAACCCAAGTGAATATATTTGTATTTGATAAATAATTATTGAAAATTTCAGTGTATATGTGCAATATCTTGCTCTAATTTGTTCTATAGATTATTGTCTTGTGTTATGTAGGGAACCCATGTAACTAATTCTCCCAATGTCAAAATGATATTTAATTTGATCAATAAGGTTTATAAACTGTATTCTTTTTTCAAACAACGATTCTCCCCTATTATTGATTATGTGTTTAATTCTACTACTCCATACGAAAAAAATAGATCAAAAGAAATTACTATTTATATTATTTATTCCAATGAGTCTCTCCATGATTTCACTCAGCATAAAGTTAGTGCTACGTTTGAAGGGTATTACGATATCACCTAAATCGGCAAACAGAACGAAGAATCAACAGCACAACGACAAGATAAGCTAAACTATTCCAATATGCCCCAGCCCTGATAACTACATGTAGAAGACTAGGTTCAGTAGAGGGAAAGATATATACCACAAGTAGCCAGAAGCATTAACAAACAAGCACACAACTTTAGCGTATATATACCTTATAAAAATGTCCTGGGAAAACATAACAAAATAATGTAATAAAAGAGGGAACGAACCAATAACATTTTAAGGTCTTTCCAAGTGGGAAATACAATCCGAAGGTGAAACTAAGCGCTTTTGGCGAAATTCAAATTTCCAAAATAAGCTTATAAAAATAATACGTTTACCACGTGGTTTCTGAGGATCTAACATTTTCAAACTTTAGTAAAAATATGACTTTTAAAAAAATCATATTTTGTCAGTAATGTCGTAAGATTGATTCAATCAAACCATATACTTTATCCAAAATTGATATATTCATAAACTAGTTTCAAGGGTTCATATTATAGACTTCAGTGTATCAAAGTATATGATTCTCTATGCATAGATTTACATAATAAGATTTATTTATTCTGTTTATTCTTTGACATTATGCGTAGAATATTATCAATTTATGGATATATATCTATTATATATTCTTAAATTAGACAATCAAATGTAGTCTATTTCATATCCATAATGTTTAACATAGGCATAGTTCAAATCCGTACCTTTAAAATTAATTATCACCCAGTTACGAATATATCATAGATATTAGATAGTTTACAACAAACGTAAATATTTATGTATCGTTTCTCAATTAATAATCTATTACATATATATATATATGTACATATGCATATATGAATGAATTACTCATTATCAGTAAATGAAAAGGTAGGAGTGCATGTAATACATGGTCCTAGTTATTAATTATTTACAATGAATGTAGAAATAATGTTTATATTTCTAAAAGATTAAAATTATCTTAACGATATCACAATATAAAACCTAATATTCCAAGATAGATTATGGCTATCAATGGAGTGCCAAAAAGTACGTTTCGAATTATTTGAAACATTTCAGCTAGATTTAACTACATTTCATCGACAAGATATTCATGATTATAATCAAATCCAGTACTTATTATTTTAAATGACAATATATTATCCACATAACTACCATCGACATTAACACCGTTGGATACTGGCTCAGTGGTTTAAAGGTTAAGCCTGCATTTAGATAACAAACTCAGTAGACATAAAAAAGCTTCTATGTTTCACAGATCTAAGTTCAAACATACATTCAGGTAAATGCCTTTGATCTATATTGTATTCTAGTTGATGTGTATTGAAAATTTATGTTGAAGAAATAATAGCTTCAGGTAGGATCTGACTCCTACATTCTATATATACCATTTATCAGCTATGAGAAATGAAATAACTGTTTATCATGAAATGAATTCATGATTTATTATTATTAATGGCTTTAATCAATATTAAATATTGGTACAATATAGAATTCTCAGAACAAAGTATTTCAACAAGTTTCTTTCACAAAACACAAAACAAAAAAAGGGGGGAAAGATGAAAAAAAGATCTGAAACTGTACAACTTTCCAAATTAAAGACATGTTTAAGAATACAGGTTATTGGCCAGGTTAATTCGAACAACCTGTTCGTCACAGGGGTAAGGTATTATAGAATTTTCATACTTTTGCTTGCGTGCATGGATTTAAATGTAATAATGTCTCGTTCTACCAGAAGATATACAAGGAGAAAAATAAGAGTGAAGGAGATGGTTAGTATTTGATAAGATTGTACCATTCCATGAAAAACTTTCTATTCAGTCATTATCATTTGGATATCTGTAAATTTAGTAATAAATGATTATAAATATAAATATTTACTTTTTTTATTTATATATTTATTTCAGAACACTCAACACCAGAATTTGAAGAATTTTTAAAGCTTTTAGGTCGTAAAGTTCGTCTTCGTAACTATTCTGGATATATTGGCGGATTGGACTATCGGAGTAAGTTGTCTCTTTGATAATTTTTTTTCAGCGTTAATAACTAAACATTCTTATTTCAAATTCTACACATATGTTTTCAGCAGATACGATTACTACTAAATCCCTAAGTACTATTGTCTGTTGACTGATTATCAATGTTAAAAGAACACTTATTTGGTGCCACAGTAGCTAGAATGCAGCTGGACGATCTAGACTTCGCAGATGATCTGGACCTTCTATCGCCCATGCAACAAAAAATTCAGGAGAAGATGACTAGTGTAGCAGCAGCCTCAGCAGCAGTAGGTCTCATTATACATAAAAGGAAAAGAAATATTCTCCGATACAACACAGTATGCAACAATCCAATCACAGTTGGCGGAGAAGATTTGGAAGATGTAAAAACCTTTACATATCTGAGCAGCATCAATGATGGACATGGTGGATCTGATTCAGATGTAAAGGCGTGGATCGGCAAACCAAGAGCAGCATATTTACAATTGAAGGACATCTGGAACTCAAAACAACTGTCAACCAACACCAGAGTCATAATTGTTAATACAAATGTCAAGACTATATGGGGCAGAAACCTGGAGAACTACGAAAGCCATCATCCAGAAGATACAGGTGTTTATTAACAGTTGTCTACGCAAAATACTTCAGATCCGTTGGCTGGACACTATTAGCAACAACGTACTGTGGGAGAGAACAAACCAGATCCCAGTGGAAGAAGAAATCAGGAAGAATCGCTGGAAGTGGATAGGACACACATTGAGGAAAGCACCCAACTGCATCATAAGGCAAGCCCTCACATGGAATCTTCAATGTGAAATGAAAAGAGGAAGACCGAAGAACACATTACGCCGAGAAATGGAAACTGGCATGATAATAATGAACAAAAAATGGATAGAACTAGAAATGAAGGCTCAGGACAGAGTGGATTGGAGAATGCTGGTCAGTGGATTATGCTCTATTGGGAGTAACAGGCATAAGTAATTAGTAAGTAATGACACCGTTCAAGTATCACTGTAAACGTTAATTTTCTAAGCGTACTTTATTTTGTTCAGAGAAAAATTAATAGATTCAGTAGTCATGTATGCACGATCGAAATTCCAGTAAAACAGTAGATGATATGACATTCTAGTTCCTTCAAAAATAAACTTTAAATAATTTCTTTTTTTAGCTGACAACAACTTCATTTGAGCATGTTTAGTCACTCTAATTAGTTGTCAATTATCCTGTGATTTTGTATGATGTAATGGGGAGATGAAGATTATCAGAACTATACGATATTATTACCGTAATTCATTTCATGTACTGTAATAATCGTTTTTCTTATTACGCTATCTAAGGTAATAATTGTTTTAAAGGCCCTATCATTATTTGGACTGACTTAAATTATTTATATTATTACGGATATAATACAAAATACGCTTCTAGATGTGAGAGATATGAATAGATCGAAATTAAGACACATTTACTCGATGAAGCTGTTGTAATTTGACATGAAATGAATAAATTCCTACATCATGAATATATTCAGTTTTTTCAAGTATATTCCACAATTCATAATATTATGAAAATTCAGTAATATAAATGATTGTGGGATAGTGGAGATAAGTCTTTAAATATACAGCATTTTGGTTTATTATTAACCTCTTATATACATGAAAACGCGGTTTGATATGTATACTATTGAAATGTTACTACCGAATCATTAACTTCAACTACTGAATGAATGTAATGTTTTTACAAAACAATAGGCGAGCCTATAATTTATGGACGAACCAATCAGATATAAGATAACAGGTCTTGGATTTTGACATGAAATTCATCCATCTATATGGCCAAATAGCGTTTTGAGATTTCAGCTGATATCAGTTCGTGATGAAAAATCTCGATCTAATTCCCAACAATCAACTGTAAATCATGATTCTGATTCTTCACACTGCTTTATAAACCTCATTTAGATCCAGTTAGTAGGTGGACGTTCGCAAGGTTATGTTAACATCTCACAAAGGTCGTCCATAAATTACAGATTCACCAAACACCATAGCTAATTACTTAATTACGTACGCCTGTTACTACACTCCATCCAACTCTGTCCTCTGCAATCCCTCTTAGTTCTTACCAGCTGCTATTCATTCTTTTCATCTCTGTTTCCAGTTTTCCGCGCAGTGTGTTCTTTGGCTTTCCACTTTTCCGTTTCCCCCCAAGATTCCAAATTAGCACTTGCCTCGTGATGCAGTTTGATGATTCCCTCAATGTGTATCCTATACACTTCTAACATTTTTTCTTAATTTCCTCCTCAACAAGAAACCAGTTTGTTCTCTCACACAGTAGATTGTTGCTGATGGTATCCGTCCAACGGATATTGAGTATCATACGTAGACAAGTGTTTATAAATACTTCTACATTTTGATGATGATTATGGTAGTTCTGGAAGTTTCAACTCCGTATAGTAGAACTGTCTCGACGTTCATATTGAGTGTTGTGACTTTGATATTGGTTGACAGTTGTTTTGAGTAGTGTATGTTGTTCAACCGTAGGATTGCTATCCTTGTTTTGCCAATCCTCGCCTTTACTTGTACATCGGATCCTCCTTGTTCATCGAGGATGTATGTGAAAGTCTCCACGTCTCCCAGAGTTTCTCGATCAAGTGTAATTTGATTGATGTTCTCTGTGTTGTATTTAGGTATGTTGCTTTTTCCCTTACATATTTTGAGGCCACACTGGTTGTATTGACCTGCATTTGTTGACATGTATGTGGCAGAAGGGCCAGGTCATCTGAGAAGTTCAAATTATCTAGTTGCAACTATTCTGTTCATCTTATTCCGTGATTCCAGTCAGATGTGGAGATCTTCATAATGCAGTCAACCACGAGAAGAAAGAGAAAGGAGTCTTGTCTAACGCTGGTTCTCATTTGGAAAGAATTTTTTATAATGTTCTCCTATTCACACTGCTAAATGCCTTCTCATAATCAAGAAAGAAATGTTTAGTGACGAGTTCCATTTGATGATCCGTAGTGTGGCGATTTGATCTGTTAGCGATCGATTCTTACGGAGTCCAGCCTGTTGACCTCGAAGTTGGGCGTCTACTGAATCTTTCATCTGGTTCAACAATACTCTGTCAAAAACCTTTCCTGGTACCGATAGTAGTGTGGTGCCTCAGTAGTTTTCACACCTGCTCAGATCTTTTTTTGGTATCTTGATGAGTTGTCCTTCTTTCCAGTCAACTGGCACTTGTTTTTACTCATAAGTCTTTCAGGTTAGAACGTGAAGCATGTTTACAGTTACTTCTATGTCTGACTTTAGTGCTTCGGCTAGCATATTGTCAGGTCTTTCTGCTTTCTCACTGTCGAGTTGTTTGATATCCATACTGATTTCTTTGATCGTTGGTGGAGTGACAGATATTAGAAAGTGTGTTAGTGCTGCTTCAATATCGGGTGGATTCAATGGAGCTGGTCTATTCAAGAGTTCCTCAAAGTATTCCACCCAACTGTTTCTCTATTCTTGAATTTCATTGATTGGCTTGCCCTTTTTGTCCTTGGTCGGTCTCTTTGGTTTACTATATTTCCCTGCCTGTTTCTTTGTCGTGTCATATAGTTGTTTGATATTCCCTTCTGTCTCAGCTTTTCCGCTGTCGTTGCTAGGTCTTCCATGTAGTTCTGCTTTTCTGCTCCAATACTCTTCTTCACTCGCTTGTTCGCTACTGTGTATTCAGCTTGTGCCTTGGTTTCTTCTGTTCGTGTCCGACTGTTGTAAGTTTCTGTCTCCTTGTTCTTTCTCTCTTTCCTATTGAATACAGTTCAGATTAACAATAGTGATCCAATCCTTATGATAATACTTTGGGGCATAGAATCTCTTGACACGTTGTAGTTAAGGCTTCTTTGATCGCTTTTGTTTGTTCTCCATGATAGTTTTCTCTCCTTTGAGTTGGTGTTGTAAGGCTTGGATCCTGTTGTTGAGAGTTATCCTGAATTCGGTGAGTTTTTCAGTATCTCGTATAAAGGCTCTGTTGAACGTTTGTTATGCTGTTTGTCCAGTTGTCCAGTGCTTCTTTAGCCTCAGTTTCATCTTGGCAACCATAAATTGGTGGTAATCTGAACTTATGTCAGCTCTTCTCTTTGTTCTCACGTCTTATATTAACCTTGTTAATTTTTTACTGATGCAAATATAATCTGTTTGGTTTTCCGTAGTGTGGTCCGGTGAGATTCATGAAGCTTTGTGTATGCGTTTGTGTGGGAATATTGTGCCTCCTATAACCAGTTTGTTGAAACCATATAGATTTGGATAGCTTTCATGATTCTCATTCGCTTCTCCCAGTCAGTGTCGTCTCATGATATTTTCATAACCGTTGTTGTCCATGCCAACTTTAGCGTTTAGATCTCTCGTCAGGATGATGAGATCCTTTCTTGGGCACTTCTCTATGATCGACTACAGCCTCCCGTAGAACTGGTCTTTATCGTCTTCATTGCTATCATTGGTGTGTACATAACATATCGGGACGAAAAGGCTGTTCAATACCCCCATAATTTCATTGGTGGTCTATCATTGATCGCTTCATGATCTCAATCAAAATAATGTAATTTACTATAAGTTTTAAAAAGGAAATACTTTTTAAAATTTATTTCAGCTGCTAGTGGTTTATTAATGAATGAACAATATTTGCTATTTGTATAGTTATAAACAGAAAAAAAAAGATTTTCAACTGTGAACCATTTCTTTTTTAAGGTATCATTTAACATCCGGTTACTTGTGCAGAACTGAAGTTACTATAGAGAAATTTTCTGAAATAAATGTTGATTATCATTCTTAAATAGTGATAGAATTGCAATAAAGTGGGATTGTCAAGCTCTAGAAAACTGGGTTTCAGCTGACATTAAAATTATATGTATATATATATATTTCTGAAAATAACTTTTGATATCGCTGTTAGTGTTATAGGATACGCATCCGTTAGTTAGTAGCTCATCTATTTCCCAATATTGAATAAGTGTACAACAGTTAGCATTTCTTTGTTCAATGACTGAATGAATGGTGATTGTAAGAACCTAATTTTCTATGTGAATTTCATTTGAAGCTACACTTTTCATTTTGTTTCCTTTTTTTGTTGATTTGTTTAATTGGAATTTTTAGCAGTGACCTGTTCACAGGAGATAAAAAAGTAGTTGCCTTCTAAATGATTAAAATGAGAATAGCACACTTATTTACAGTACTGATATATTTAATGAGTGAGAAAATGCTTCAAAATACTAGATATGATTTTACTGAACATCTAAAATGGATGCCTATCCTCACACTTATAAGTATACAGTGATTAATTAGACTTTTCTACTTTGGAAGCCTTTTCTAATTTAATAAGTACTTGTTATCTATTGAATGTTGTTAAAATGATGGAGAAGATTTATAGCTCAGGTGGATGAGAACGAAACTTCATCAAAATTAAATGTTGTATTATTCATAACTCTTTTGATTTGAATGTGTTTTAATGGTAATAGACAGCGAATTCCCGGTTAATCTCAAAATGACAAGAAAAACAAACCTTTTTTTCTTCATTATATTAGAACATTATAACTGAATTGGTGTTGACAATTTTGTCAAGACTAAAGTCAATGATAGATTATCATTTTAAATATTGTGGAGGCCCGTTATTTAATAGTCATTTAGATCGAACGATGTTGTTAAAAGGGCTCTCCACTTTAGTGGCCTGAGATCTGACGAGAATGGACTTGTGAATACATATATTTTGTATATAAAGCGAATGGAATAGAGAGAAGAGAAACGACGTACAGTGGAGATGCCGGGTAAGCCAACTCTCATTTAAACAAGCCTTGATCAATATTTATAGTTACACAAAAGTAAGTTACAGACATGTGGATGAGTAATGGGATAAGAAATGTACACACACTTACGCGCTCATATAAAAACAGTCAAAATTGATAAGCGAATAATTAACAGTCAGAATGTGACTCAAGTAAGATGAATGAAATGGTATGTCCGAAACCTAGAATAAGGTATATCGGTTTAACATAATAACCGACAATACTGTTATATCCGATGAAGATTAAATTACAGGTAACTTCCAAGGACTATTCATGGACTAATATTCTATAAATATTCTTATTGTATAACTACTCAACAATTACACCATGTATATTTATATTCCTTTTATGATAAGCTTTATTTTGATCTATAATTTATTATTGTACGATTTACGGTTCTTAAGTTATGTTCAGTCTATTAACTACTGCCTCCCACCTTCACAGCCACTTTTTGTGCTTATTTGTGTACAAATATTATTTCCTATTTTATGGTACGTTGCGGTCTGTCTGATTGATATACAAACCGAGTATGCCTGAAATAAACTATTCGATTCATATTACGGAAGCTGGTATTATGTTCTGGACTCAAGTGGAAGGGCCCGGAGGACATAGGACCAATAAGAACGCTAAACTGCCCACACCGGTTGAACGTCATTGGTTGGCCTAGTGTGAAGATTCGTATAAGTCGTATTCGGATTGGTAGATAAATCGTGTGATAGAAAAACCAGACATCCAAGGTCATAACAAATAGAATATAACTATTTTATGAATAACTTTCATTTATAATATCTTTGTACTATTCAATCTATAGATCAAAGTTGAATGTACTATTTTCAATAATACAAGACATTTTATGATTCATTTTGACCTTCATTGAAATAATTAGATAATAATAATAATAATTAATTTACAGGGTTAAGAATTTAGTGATGGTATAACCGTTTTCTGCTTCATTATAAAAATATCAGAATTTACTTCTAATGATTAGAGTTACTCTTTAAGTTACAAAATGATCCATATCATAAATCAGAGAAAATAACATTTAAAATGAAAATCAATCAATAATTAAACATTTTTGCATAGTTGCATTTCAGTTGTTAAGTCAGAACCGTGGTATTCTATGTTATATACAGATATATGTTTGAACATGTACCTAAGTACATGGGTTTTTTCTAAAATGTAATTCTATCTACATATTTAGATGACTCAACTGGATTGGAGACATATGTTACTGAATTTCGTGGAACAAATATTGTATTCCTTGTATCTACACTTCTTCCATATGAACCTAATAAAACAGAACAGGTAAAAAGTTGAACTCTTAATTGAAAGTTATATACATATATAACTGTTTTGTTTTATAATTCAAGATTAAACGTGAAATTAATTATTCTATGAATTAAAGTCAATAATAATTTCACTTTTAATGAATCTGTAATATAAAGGCTGAAAAAATTGAACTATGGAGTAGTTATAGTATGAATTTCTCTATCAATTAATTATCAATTTACAGTTTAAACTGAATGTGTACCAGTTAATATTGTCATATATGATATATTAGTATGGTGTATTTTGTTACTTATGTTTGCAGATATCAGTAGTATGTAATATCAGTGAGAAATGTAATGTTTGCGAGAAGAAGGTTGAGAACATTGAAATGAAACGAAAAGGAAAGGAAACTGATAGTAATCAAGATAACAATAGGAATGAAAGAATAATGAAGCTTGTAAGAGACAATTCAAAGCAGATGTGCAATTAATGTACTTGATGTAGGATGTTCATACTTTACTAAACCATTATGTATTTGTGCAGTAAACCATAAATTGCTTCTCCCCACCGAAGTATTTGTTCACTATGTTAGCGTAGTGAAAACAAAGAATAATAACAAAGTAAGGTAGAAATCGTTAAGAATCAGTTTCCATTTCAATGAACGCATAATTATCAGTAATATATGGTTCAAAGATAACAAATTGAAATCGACGGATTAAATGTTAGTAATGTTGCTCAATTTAGAGGATGATTCTTTTTTAAATGAATGAAATTTACCAGTGCTACTGATTCTATTATTTCATCCAAAGTCAACAATCACTGCTAACAAATAATGAGTGGGCCTCAGTAACTACTTAATAAAATCCTTAAATATTGCAACATTGTATGACCTAGTCAGCTACTGAAAAACATTCAGAAATATATAGTAACATATTATTAACATGCGATTTTATACGATTTATATACAGACTTCACTATACTCCATTGTAGTGTTGGTTACTATGTTAAGCCCATATAACTTATTCTAGCTTCTGAACAGAACAATTTATCCATTCTACTGGAGTCATATTTTAACCTTGCTATTGATTCAGTTATCAACCCTGACTGTTTTTATATGAGCGTATGTATGTGTACTTCTTATCCTACTCATCACATGTCTATAGCTTGTTTTTGTGTGATTATAAATATTGATCAACGCTTGATTAAGTCGAGTTGGCACTGAGCGCCATCTCGTTTCGCTTCTCTCTCTTCTTTACGCCTTCATAGCTTCGTTTCTCCGATCTTTTTTCTGGATCAAGGATTGTATGAAATATACGTATTCGAATTCCATTCTCGTATTTGACTTATTTAATTCCGTTATTCACTAACGTACATTAAATCCATAACTATATACGAGAATAGCCAGAATTTATATTTTAATAACGATCATTCGTACAATCCAACTGCAGTCAGATATTGAACCACTAAAGTGATGAGACTGTCGATAACATCGTACGCTCTAATTGACGTCAAAATATCGGCCCGGTAAACCATCATAATTTAGACTTCGTATTAAACGTACCTGTGTATTAAAGAAAATAAGCTTTAATAGATTTTGATAGATGATCTATCATAAATTGAACTAAGACAGAACATTGATTCATGATACGAATCAATGTCAAATTAAAATATTCTAGGCAAAGACACAACTCTTATTATAATACATGTATACAAATGAGTCTTCACTCAGTGGTGTAATGGTTAAATGCTAGCCTTAAAGCCAAAAAGTCCTATATTCAATCTCTAGTATGATCGTGGATGTGCCCTGCTGAGAAATTCCACACTAGCATTAAACAGCTGTTCAATTCATTTAATGCTTGTTTAACCAAGCTCAATACTAGATGCTAACTATCAGATTCCACAATCTCTGCAAACTCCTTATATCGTAAATAATATGTTGTTGTTTTGAATAGTTACTAATGGATACAAAAATATTATACGCTAAATATGCAAAGTTAATATGCCTTAGTAAATTAATGGCGATAATCAATTAAACGACAGTTACCGATCTAAACAAATTCTTATAAGTTAAATATTAGTTTTTTTGGTTGATATCCAAGTTAAATCACCCCGTAGAAACAATAGTACTAAAGAACTATAAAATATAAATGTAATAACAATTCAATGGAATGTATCAACTAATTACTTTCAACATTTCTGTAACAATGTAACATGCTTACAAACATGTTTTGAAGTTGCATCATAATATTCATGTGCAATGTTACGTCAGTCTTTTACAGATATGTTAAGATGTCATATTTTATGTTACTTTTTTGATGATGATTTTTATCTTGGCGTCAATTTTTGTCATTCTCAACTGGAATGAATGTCTGTGTCTTCTACTGTGTTACCTAACAGTTCTATATTAAGTGCTCTAGTCAATATAGTTAACTTTGTCTGTGGAGTAAGATTGCTTATATATTAAAAATACCGATTATTTAACTAGTAAGCAGAAGACGTAAACTTTTTTCACGTATTCTGATTTAAGAAGCTTGGTAGAATAAGTAATCCACATACAATTAATATGTAACTCAAAATTTGTATCTGTCAGTGAAATAACGAAACGATCTAAGTCAGACAACCAGTGAAAATTAGGATATAGAAAAATAGCTTCTTCGTCCTTGAATAGGATTCTTCAGTAGGGCACATTCATGCATCCAATGTAGATGTATGTACAAAAGTTATTACATCTGTTAATAAATGTTGATTTGTTGTCAAAGCAAACGTCTATGTCAAAACCCTGTGTGCTTGAGTTACTACATTGTAGTATGTAAACTATTGAAACACTATTCGTAAGCAGTGATAGATGGTGGCTAGCAGTGGAATCCAGGACACGCGTTTCGTCCTATTTGGGACTCGTCAGCTGGGTGTACCTGCATCTCAGAGTTGATGTTCACTATGGGACTCCAACCCAGTAATATTCGCTTCAAAAGCCAAACAATACCAAGTGTATTGAAACACTACTTGATAAAATCTTTTCTAAAGTATTTTGTCTAATTACTCAATTCTAATATTTTAAAATTTTGAAGATCACGCAGCTGGATACTAAAAACTAAAATAAACAGTTATGGCATTATATATATATGATGATAAAGGAAAATTGAAGTTCACATAGATGCGTTTGGTGATGTTGCGATTTCTGACCAAGATGGTCTGATTAAATAGTTTTAATTGTCATTCCAGACAACATCATTAACGACTACTTCGCGTAAAAAACAATATGATTTACTATTATCACACAAATGTTGCATCAGTTCACCTTATGAATATCATTAACGTTTTAAAAGCATGATATTCGATAAAGATTTAAACTATGATCCAATAAGCACTGGGTTAGTCAATCACAAGACTAAACGTTAGCCGATAAAAACAGTCAACATAAATGCAAGAAAACACGAAGACATAAAACATACAAAAAATCAGTCCCAGACAAGATCATCAGAACGACTTAAAGAATTTATAAAATAACTGAAAAGCTTACTTTTAGGTGAAATAGGTGCTAATAATATTGTTCAGGAATGATGATGAAAGCTCTGTAATCAAACTAAACCAGGAAACACCACTCCATTGACATATATATATAGTACCGATCAGCAAATCGATTGATTAAATTACATAATAATGTATTTAAAATTAAAATAACTTTCTATCATATCCGTTATCCTGATGTACTTTTTTGAATGAATCCTTTTTTTCATTTTTTTTAAACTGAATAGTAACTAAAAGTCGGTTATACACTTCATTTTTCAAAATAGAATCTAGAAATCATTATTTTTACAGTTTGTGTTTGACATGATGATGGGGGAAGTAGGTCTAATCACCATGATCTGTGAAGGATGTATAAAGCTAATTTCTTTCGATGACATTTAATCTGTGACATTTTATCATGTATATTTTTCTCTTAATAACTTGTTTATGAACTTACTATTTTACAATACAAGAAACTTTTCAAACCAGTTATCCTCACTTAACTACTAGTTTGTTCGGCAGTTTACGTGAATTATCTGATTTCGTCAGCAGTCATTAATCAAACACATTATATCATTACACCCATCTGTTGATCAATATTATGTTCATTCCTTTTTTCACAATCCGAATCATAACCATCAAATACGTAGATGACATAGTCCTGTTTGGTGAAGACGCTGACAAAATGCAGAGTCTTCTGGTAGCACTAAGCAACAATGCCAGAATGTTTGGGATGCGCTTCTCTCCCTCTAAATGCAAGTTGTTGCTTCAGGACTGGTCTGCGTCAACACCTGAACTAAGGATAGGGAGTGAAGTAGTCGAACGCGTTGACAACTTCACTTATCTTGGAAGTCTGATCAGCACTAATGGGTTGGTGTCTGACGAAATCTCAGCACGGATTCGAAAAGCTCGTTTGGCTCTTGCCAACTTACGTCACCTTTGGCGGAGGCGAGATATCCGTCTATCAATAAAAGGACGAGTATACTGCGCGGCAGTCCGTTCTGTCTTACTTTACGGCAGCGAAACATGGCCATTAAGAGTAGAAGACACTCGTTAGCTACTAGTATTTGACCACAGATGCCTCAGAAACATTGCTGGCGTCTGCCGGGATCACCGGGTAAGTAATAGGGAGGTTAGACGCGAGGTACTAGGTAATGATGGTAAATCAGTTGATGAGGTTGTGAATCTTCATCGGCTGAGGTGGCTGGGCCACGTGTTACATATGCCTGAAAACCGATTACCACGACGTGCAATCCTAACCAGTGTTGGAGATGGTTGGAAGAAGGTTAGGGGCGGCCAAATCAAAACGTGGCATCAGTGCCTGAAGTCACTAACTTCTAGTCTGAGCCATGTTGGTAGATGCAGACTACTTGTTTGGGGTCCGCGTGACTATCGTAACCAATGTTTGGAGACTCTTGGTGACATGGCTCAGAATCGATCACAATGGCGTCGGTGTATACACTCCCTGTCTCCCCTTAAACTAAGAGAATAAAATCGCTTCATATCTTTCTTTCTACGAACTAATTCTTTCTTCCTATACTATATCCTTATTGCAACCTTTGACCTAACCACTCCTATGAATCCGGTGTTCATCTTGCTGTGCTAATGAGGTATGGCAACTTGGACCGATGCACATATGTGCCTGGTCCTACGTTGTAGCTGACTGACTGACTGACATCAAATACAGCTTTATATAACATTTCTTTCGATCATTAAGTAATGCTCGTTGAAGATGAATAACTCATTACTTCAGTTTAGAACATCCTAGCTAAATGATGCGCTTGGCCAATGAGGTTCACGTCAAATCTTATGCAAGAGAATATAAAGAGCTCACGCCATTTGTTGAGAAAATGTAGTGTACTATTGCTTGGAAATATGCTTTTATTTTCTGAGGAACAAATATCTATATTTATGAATGCGTTGTATCTGTATTCTGAAGCGGTGGTTTACTAGTTACAACGTTCTACTTTCACTCATTAATTTCTATGCTGAAATCCAAATTCACATACTTCAATTCGGGGTAACCAGATAGTACCATACGCCCTCATACTTCAAGTTTAGTCTATACCTAAGCACCTAGTGACTGAGTTAGTTATTATGACACTTTCGACTCGGTTAGTCAATAAAAGCTATTTATTCATTCTTCGTTCTACAGCTCGAATAGCTTAAATAGTCACAGAACGTAACACTGCATAGTTCATTCTATGTAACATTTATTTATTACATAATGTTTAACACTCCAATTTCTACGTTTCCCACTATAGACTATATATGAGTATAGCGACACAAACACAGTAAATACCTGTGTTACATAAATCAAAGTTTAACTATACTTAATTCACTTTAAGTAATGAATAGTAACGTCTTATACATATTAGTTACTTTTTTTTACTCTTCCATTTAGTACTTATATATTCAAAATCATTTATTTATTTATTACATTCAATTACAGTTGGTTACATGTTAGTTATTTAATACATATATATTTTTCATTTCTAATAATTCATTTTGTTTATATATAGTTAGCTAGAAAACGACATATTGGTAATTCATCTGTCACATTTATATTTGTTGAAGAAGATGCTATGCCATTTCAACCGGATACAATAATTTCAGGATTTCAAAAAGTATTCATTATAGTTAAATATATTCGTTTAAATAATGATGTTGATGATAAGAATAATTATAAATTTGGTTATCGGTAAGTTTAATTACATAGATTTTCCATATGTACTTATATATATATATATATAGCACTTACTCCTGTTACACCTCGTGGTAGAGTATAGGCCGCTCACCAGCATTCTCGATTCAACCCTATCGTCAATAATCATTTCAAGTTCATTCCACTTGCTATTCATTCTTTTCATCTCTGTTTCCAGTTTTCCGCGTAGTGTGTTCATCGACTTTCCACTTTTCCGTTTCCCCCCAAGATTCCAAATTAGCACTTGCCTCGTGATGCAGTTTGATGATCCCATCAATGTGTGTCCTATACACTTCTAACATTTTTTCTTAATTTCCTCCTCAACTGGAAGCTGTTTTGTCCTCTCACACAGTAGATTGTTGCTGATGGTATCCGGCCAACAGACATTGAGTATCATACGTAGACAAGTGTTTATAAATACTTCTACATTTTGATGATGATTATGGTAGTTCTGGAAGTTTCAACTCCTTTTAGTAGAATTGTCTTGACGTTCATATTGAGTATTGTGACTTTGATATTGGTTGACAGTTGTTTTGAGTAGAATTTAATATACATATATATACATACATAATTATTATTCTACACTATGACAGATACACTTTACATTACAGCCTTCTCAAAATATTTTACACATAAATCTAATTAATATGAACTGTTATTTTTAATTTTGATCAATACAAAACCTGCTGAATGATATAATAATCAGATTGTGAAGATAAACTCTTCAGAAAAACAAAATGCATGTATCTTGAAAAGAATTCAAGAATATATATGATACATCTTGCGTATTGAACGCTATATTCGTTTCCTAAGCTATTCTGTAACCCCCAAGCTAGAACTATTCAGCGACCTGAACAACTAGAGAGAAGACGCAAAGTATGCGACAAGCACTTTACTCCAAGGTTCATTTCAATACAGAAAATACAGGGTTTTTATAAGATTTTAAATGTCCTTGGGTTGCTAGTAGTTTCTGGAATGCTACTAAACATAGTAGCAGTGTAGCAATCAGCCAGTCAGAACCTCTGCATGTGACGTTTCGCTTCTTTGATATTTTTGGCTAAGACTTCAAATGAACGCTGATTGGATGAAACGCTTCTTAATGGTTCCTGATGCTTGCTTGTCTTTTGCGAGAAATTCGCCGGATCACCCCAACATTATATATCGAGTTTCAGCAAATTACCTATGAATGAAATCTAGACAGATTCATTTGAGATATTGTTTTAATAACTTTCTTTATGTAATAGTGATTAATTACATAGATATAGCAAACCACTGAAACAAATCATAACATCTTGACAGAATACTATATGTTTACTGTTTTATACATTGAAGATCGGTTAACTAAAACAAAACATTTATTTGTAGGATTCCAATAGAACTCAAGGGAATAATATTAGATCATAATATGATGTGCTGTAACTCTTAAACGTCAAAATGTAACAGAATTAGACAGGTTTCTAAAAAAAAACATTGTTAGATTGAATTTAGTCTGTAAAATGTTATAAACAAGATTAACCTTCATAATCTTTAAAATATCAAAAAAATAGTGAGAAGTAAAACATTGATAATGAGCCCCCAAATGCCCTGGTACAGCCGAGGGTCAGGAAAGGTAGCTCTCCCTCTCGAAATGCTCTCACATGGCCTTGTGTATACAATCACTGTCAGGGAACTCGTAGTCACTGCATTCTCACGGCATTACTGTTGTTTACAAAATTGTGAGGATGAAAAGTGAATGTTCGGTGCTTCAATCGGGTTGGTGGATATGGAGGATCCAACTAGGTTAGTTGGAAAACCCTGATTCCAAACAATGGTGCACATGGACTTCAGGATCCTGAGGAAATAAACGGCTTATGAACCAATCGTTGGTCACCGGTTACGATGGAACTGCATCTCCTAACGTTGCTCCATTGACTTTTGAATGAGACCTTTAGGTAGAAGGCTTCGTGTGTGGCCCCTTACCCGGACAGTACCACAGCCCGCACACAAATCAAGTGACTTGTGTGTCTCATATGTATTGGGTGCCCCTTTATATCAATATTTTTGTGTTCAAATAAATAAATAAAATGAGACACTTTCTAATATTTGAAATAGGGTATTAAATATCAGTTCACTAACTGTATTTAATTCTACCACAGAACTTGTCCAAATGATTTTTATGGAATATTTCTCATTAACATTTGGCAGTGATTATATGTGTGTGACTAATGATTGGCACAAAAAATTAGGTCTGTAATATAAAGATATCACTCAGACATGAAAATATTGAATGTCTTAAATTCTTAATAAAACAGCTGTAAATTAACTTAATAGTTGTCAAGGCTTTTTGTGATAAAAACTAAGTAATTAAAGAATAGCTGCAAAACCGAAAAATGTTTGACAACTGTTTCTGCTTAGTTCCGAACTTCTTACATTTGAGTAACCACAATATAATATCTCACAGAATCAAACTAACACATCTCACATCTTCCAGTGATTACAATATTTAGATTACTGATTGAAAATACTGAAATTCACTTGTCTCATTTCAAAAATTTCTTAGTGTACGAATTATATGACACTAGTATGAGACGGTTATTCAGTGCTTCCAGGTTTTCAATGATGATCTAACAATGATCGGTTCATGATCTCATTTAAAACTGAACAATCTCCGCAATTCTACACTAATTTCATTACATACTGTTGCTTATTTTCCACAAATATTATGTTTACAAAAATAGTTTAAAATAATCCCCTTTTGTGTTTTTTATTCACCTTCTTTTAAATCAAACAGTGTAGCTGTTTGTCGAGCGAAAGATGTACCACAATTCGGACCAATTATATCAAGTGATTATTTATTTGAACATCATCTGTCGTTTGGCAATCTATTATTAACTAAAGGTAAGCTAATATTGAACGTTTTAATTAAGAATAGATTTATTATGAAATACAGTGGTAGTCAGATTAATGACAAACTATACATTGTAGAGGTACATTTCTCCTATATATGACTCCAATAAGTAGTATCTCGTTAACTGAGTATTTAACGCAGGCTAAATCTCCTAGTATTATTCTGAATTTACTCGAGATTATTCAAAAGCCTGAACAGTTATAGAGATACGTTATTGCTAAAGATTAGTAAAATGCACAAGTTTGCAGTAAGCAAGCACACAGAGAAACGATTGAGCGTGTATGTGTGTGTTAAAAATCCATATATATTTATAGGTATTAATCGATTATGGATAAACTATTAATTGTCTGTGTTTACATCCAATGGGAGAACAGATAAAGATTGTTATGCAATCAAACTCACACATAAATTTATATAGTGGATTAAATGTCTAGGTTACAGTGAACAGACAAATAATAAAATAGTTGAATGGGCTTATTATAAGATTATCAACTGAACTGTTCTCTTTTTCATCCAGTTGATTATCAAATATTACTTACTTACTTACTTACGCCTGTTACTCCCAATAAAGCATAGGCCGCCGACCAGCATTCTCCAACCCACTCTGTCCTGGGCCGATTATCAAATGTTGTTTGACTAATCAACTACTGAATTCCAGGTCATTAGTTTTGAAAAACCCAGTTTTTTAAAAACGCTAATTTTTCAGTACTCGCAAAATTCTGGGGTTTTTTTGGTACAACTAACCTGACGAATAAAAAAAGGAGGATTAGAACATCATTCACAGTCAAATAAGAGCAATAACTTACTATTGTAAGATCTTTAGTATTTGAATGTATGATTGTTGTTCTATGTATATATTTTATTCAACATTAATCTTTTCCCTAACCCTTAAAGGTAAAGTTACTATTTATTTTACATACGATTTCGGTTTTCTTGATATATCGCTTTCGTCGTTTAGTTTTTACTGACCCTCTTAATCTAGTTTTACTCAATCGCTTCGTTTATGTATTCTATCGTATTCCTTCTTTCAGTCCGTACTGTTGCTGCTTGAATTGATTACAGGAGGCTGTCATTTGACCATAGTATTATGTTCCTAGATTGTTTGAGGTATATCAACAATTAACTAATTTATACTCCTTAAGGATTTAGTCACTTAATGTTTTACGGTGTGATTGCGCGAGGTTTAAGTAATTCATTGGTTGTTTACCTTTAAATGATCGAATCGTCTGATAAAATTCCGTCCATTGTTTGTCTAAGACACATTTGTTCTCTGACAAGTAACTAGTTTCGTGTTCTTTAGACATTTATATACTTGGTGTATTTTAGATTCACTTGTATAAACTTTTTTTGATTGAGATCATGATCCGATTGATGTTAGACCACCACCTTTGGAAACCTGGAAGCTCAATCAAAAACTTAATAATCTCCACGACCCCTATACTAGCAATATATAAACTTTGTTGAACAACTCACTAGCTGCATGGCATAACAATGTTATTCCGTAAAGTATTTTGTATAATTTATAATGTATATTACTCGCCAATAATGTTTTAATTCTAAGTGTGGAAAATAATGAGTCACTGTCACATCAATGGTGGTTAAACAGATATCCGAGCTATAATAGCTTGAACCTAAAAATCATGAAAAATATTTTAACTAACCAAAAACTAGAGAAATGTATAGCAACTGGTTACAATATGTTTTAAAAAATAGCAAAAGATATCCATACAATAAGGGCTTACTTGCATTTGATGAAATGATACATGTTAGAAGGGCTAAAAACAAATCCACAAATTTATCAAACACTAAATTATACTTCCAGAAATAACGTTTGCACGTTAACGTTTCAGAGTTACATGTCCAAATGGTATTTAGACATCCAGCAGTATGAATGTAACATAACGTATAGTAGTTATCCGACAAACGGTCATCTGTATAATTGAGATCATGTAATGAATTTCGAAGTATAACGTATAAACAAAGTATATTAACTCAATTTATTTTTGCATTGGTTCTTTGAATCTTCCAATTGATGTTGGGGACCGCAATCGATCACTCTGTTGTTGACATATGGGCATCCAGTACGGATTGCGTCGACATTTTCTTAAGTCACAAGCATTATAACCTGAGAATGGATGTTATCTAGCAGTGGAATCCAGGACGCGCGTTCTGTCCTATTTGGGGCTCGTCAGCTAGATGTAGCTACGTCCCAAAGTTGATATACGCATCAATGAGAAGATTCAAACAAACTTCACCTTATTGTACAAGCTAGTGGCTATCTGAATTCAATAGTTAAGTGGATGAAGCGAAGGCTTTCGAAGCGAATGAAACTGGGTTCAAACCCCAAAGTTACATCGACTCTCGGATGTAGGTACATCCAGCTGACGAATCCCAAATAGAACGAAACGTACTTCCTAGATTCTGCTGCTAGCCATCATCTATCCTAGTGTATACTTTGTTATACGTTAACTGTCGTATATAAGATTTAAAAGAGAATGTAAAGTAATTTTATTTCTTCATAGAGAAAGTAAACAACTTGAAATAAAGATAATTGTTATAGGTATCAGTGACCAGGTTGGACTTGATAATTTCAAATAAATTGAGCATTAGATAGAGTTAATGATAAAAATATTTTTTTGTTATATCCCAACGAGTAGGAAACTTATATTTCCGACGTTCCATGACTTAAGGTAAGGCACTTCTTCAGAATAAATAAATAATCGAAATTAAATTAACACAATTTTAAATAGTACAAAGGAAACAATACAGAATATTTTTGGTACAATCAAAATCATAATAAGTTTGAATATGTCAATGTCAAGTTATTCTTAATCAAAGTGATTATGTATGACCTGTCACTGTAATAATTTGTGTATCAGAGTATTTTGCATTATTCCCTTTTATACTAATTAAACTTGGGGTAATTTAATTGTTGGTTATTTATTTATTATCACGTAGTGGCTTACATTAAGTCACAAAACGTCAGAAATACAATTTTTCTCACAATTGATTAGTCATTGGGTGGTGATCAATGTCATGTGATTCAAGTCCTTCTTAGTGCAGATCGAATGAGTCAGGGAGCACCAGTTCCCTCAAGATTACGGGTATACCTTCCTAACGATTGCCAAATAGCACGAAACCTGGGTCCAGGGTTTCCTGTCGACTACTTCCAACTACCATCTAATAAAATACTCATACTGATAACCAGGATATATTTGACAAATCTTTTAATTTGAACGCTTGGATCGGTTTCCATAAACTCCTCTAGTAACCCTCAGGATAAATCTACACAACAACTTGAACACGAGAGTAAAGGTGCGAAATATATGAGAACACTTTACTCTGAGACACTTTTGTGTACAGAAAATCTATGGTATTTATAGCATTTTAGATTACCTTGGGCTTCTGGAAAGTCCCGGTATCCTTCTAAACATAGTAGCAGGTTAGATAGTCATCTAATCGGAAATGTGACTGCTCACTTTCTAAATGTTTCTGGTAAACCGCTATTAAGTGTTGACTGGATAAGATGTTTCTCAGCGTTTTAAGGGCCCCACTGGGTCATTTTCAAGGAATTTTCAGGGTCTCTCCAAAAGTATTACATGATAAGCTCCATGCTATACAATAGTGATGATATGTTTAGTCTGTATATTGGGTTTTTTACAGATTATCTATGCCTACACTATTTATGATTGTTATACTCGATTGTTTGTCTGTCGATCGACTATGGATTATTCAAATATTATAAATCACTTTGATTTAGATGTAAATATTAATTTACTGATTCTCGATTTAATTCAACAATATTATAGGAAAATATCTCCAAAGTTAATGTATACATCATCATATGATTTAGATTTACGTCGTAACAAAGATGTTTAACTGAAAGATAGTTTGTTGGTAATGTTTAAGCTCATAATATCTAGTTTTACAATCACAGACATCGCCAATATGCAACTCAACTCGAAACAGACTTCCAGTGGGACCTAGACAACTATGGTAAATGACCAGTACTTCATACTATTTTAGTTCAATATCCCAGCAGTTTGAATGACTTAATATCGTAGTATAATTCGTTGAATAAAAACCAAGATCAAAATTTTATGCTAGTTAATACTTTTCAATTACTTTCAAACAATGTTCATCACATTATTAGATCATTTAGATTAGAGGGAAAAGTTTAATCTGACTTATCGAGTTTAATCAGTTCTAAATGCTAGATAACATGACACTGATTATTACCGAGTGATTAATTATTATAATACGACTTTTATTCACCTAATTTCAGTTTATTTAAGTTAGCAATATGAAAAACTATGTTATCAACGGTATTATCAAGCTAAGTTATTAACGATTCATAAACATATATTTTAACTCGATATACATGAACAAATCATACCGTTTATAAACAAAATCAGATTGTTCAAAGCTACAGTAAATATCGACAATCATTTCAACTGTTTATAATATATAGATCTGTTTACATTCAGATCTAACCTTTTATAGTACCTATTATGGATTAGTATAGATTAGTGAATAATCTAAGTTATTCATATACTCTACAAGGTAATTTTCTGACTATTTAACAAAACAGATAAAAATATTTTTCTTTTTTTTTAAAGTTACTTTCAAAAAGCTGTTTATGTAAAAGCAGTGAACAACAATAAGCTGGTTTCATCTTGGTAATTACTGAAAATCAAAGTTTTGTCGTCCTAGTTTCAAACGCATGAAATAAATTGTATTTAACTCTTAAATTTCTTCTCAGTCAGGTTGGTTATGAATACAGTGGTCTTGAGTGCTGTTAGAGGTGTGGGGGCGGTTATCACTTCCCGTGTGCCCACACTGTGGAAGGGTTCTTCTAGAGATAACTAAAAAGGAAATTGAATTGGAGGTGGCCTTAGTGACCTGAGAGCGTAACCGCAGTGCCCAAGGGACAACTGCTTGACGTCGGTCACACATGACCTTTTTGTGAGTAGTTTTCGTGTTAGCTCCGTACTTGTTGAGACCTTACCGCCGGAGACGGATATCCGTGGGATAAGGCAAGGTGTGTATTTTTAGGGTCGACCTTTTCTAACCCCACCCCTCCTTGTGGGAAGGCAGCATCTCTGTCATGCTGGCTGTCTGAAGGAAACACCTTACTGCCATCACACCTCTGTACAGTCAGTAGTACGACTTCACCTTCGGACCTTGGGTTTATTGCTTTTAGTCTTATCGCTCTTTAACTAACCTGTCTGGCATGTTAGTACCTTGAGGAACGACTGTTTCAGCCAGTGTAGCTCGATCGGTTCATCACGATAGGTAAGCCCGACCACCACATCAAGATAGCAACAACGGTCGGGTGAATTTCTTCTACATACAGAATAAATGATTCGATTACATTTGAGTACAATTTTACTTGTGTACTTATTGACTAGATATACTTCATTTATTGAGAGCAATGGTTTATTGGTTAAGCTATTAGAATTCCACCGATTAGATTATAAGTTCATGTCGCGATTTAGTTAAGGTAGTCATCATATATACAGTATAGCTGAAAGCGGGGCACATGATACTTTATTTGATTCCCCCCCATGTCAATGGTAAATCAATAATAAATGAGTCCATTCATTGTTTTATAGTATTGTACATGGGGTTAACCAGAAAATCACAAAATCTCTTGCAAAAATACGAGAACCAAGCATTGAAACCTTCATTTGCAAAATTCTAATATTTGCGCTTCGCATTTTGTATGATTCTTTCAAGTCACAATTCCTTTCCATTTTCGTTTCCGTTTTCTTAAAGTTGACCTTCATGGCTTTCTATTGCCATGCATTCCTCTTCTGATTGGTGTTCATACTACTTACGTTTGTCGACATAAGTAGCATACACTACAATATTGTTACATCTAATGTATAATAATTGTTTTTTATCTCAATGAACTCCTATTTTTTAGCTATTAATGCAGCTTATGCTGTATTGAAATATTCAAAATTTCGTGAAATTATGCAACGTTCAAGAAGAGACTATCTTCATCAATTCTGTAATGAACATACAATTAATACAGAAAATGAGAATTTAAAACATGGTAAGAAAAAATTATGTTTAGTCAATTGAAACATTTAATTGTCTCTTGACAATAATTTATATTGTTTATTTGTATACAAATATGAACTAAGAATGACTTGTAACTGCTTACTGATCATCATTTGAAACTACAAAGTAATTTGTCAAAATTATATTTTTTAAACAACCATGTTCATGATTTTGTATTGGTTGTGTTGAGTCTTCTTATTGGTATTTAGGACTGAAATTGATCAGTCTCTTATTGATATCTGTACATCCTGTGCGAACCACCTTGATATTGCATTAAGTCATAAGCATTATAAACACAAGCTAGTGGTTATCTAGACCCAATAGCTAAACAGATGATGCGAAGGCGTTTGAAGAGAATGCAACTGAGTTCGAGCCCCGGCGTGAACATGAACTCTAGAATCCAGGTACATGTAGTTGGCGAGACCCGAATAGGACGAACTACGCCTCCTGTATTACACTACTAGCCACCATCAACCATGTTCTTGTTTTCATTAGTCTTTATATCATGATTATATGTTACATTGTACATAATATCTATCATTAACAAACAAATCAATTGTGAATCTACTGAAATTACGCACTATAATCGTACAATGTTATTTTTATACCGTAACATTTGAATAATTACTGGTATGAAAACAACTAATGTCACTGCAACTAATTTCCGTTATATATAGTATTCCACATTTGAAATTGTTTTCGACTCTTATCCAAATGTAAATCGAAAATCTTTTCGATGTATTGATGACAGGTTGTTTTTCAATTTTTTAAAATACAAATGAGATACAGATAATGTCGTTATTATTTAGTCAGTAATAAGATGTTCCTCTGCAGTATACATGAGTAGTCATTGTTAGATGCACCATTGGATTTTAAGTCAATAGTCAAGAAATTAAGGATTAACACACGAGGCCAAAGTTTCTAGGTTTCAATCTTGGAAGTGGAGTCATTTATGTAAATTACTAAGCAATTTTATAATAAGATGAAATGGCTATCCAGTACTTCTAGATTTTAAATGGTTGTCTAACTTGGATTCATGATTTCAATAATATTCCATATTTGTTAAATGTTACTCATAAGTGTTCAACGCAACTTCAGCAAAGATAAAATTAAAAATCTAAATACTTATAAATTTGCACCTTTTGTTTGTTTGTTTGTTTGAACACAAAAATATTGGTATGAAAAGGCATCAAATATATATGCGCCACACAAGTCACTTGATCTGTGTGTGGGCTCTGATACTGCCCGGGTAATGGGCCACACATGAACCCTTCTACTTAAAGGTCTAATAAACAAGTTAATGGAGCAACGTCAGAAGATGCAGTTCCATCGTAGCCGGTGACCAACGATTGGTTCATAAGCCGTTTATTTCCTCAGGATCTTGGAGACCATGTGCACCATTGTTTGGAATCAGGGTTTTCCAACTAACCTAGTTGGATCCTCCATATCCACCAACCCGATTGAAGCACCGAACATTCACTTTTCATCCTCACAATTTTGTAAACAACAGTAATGCCGTGAGAATGCAGTGACTAGGAGTTCCCTTACAGTGATTGAAGATCTGACTTTCCTGACCCTCGGCCGTAGTAGGTCATTTGAGAGCATCCGCATCTTTAGTTTTATTTGATTTTTAAAATGGTTTAATTTTTATTCAATTTTTTTTATGAGTATACAATATTTCAGAAATTTTATACTTTACAAAACTGTCTAATCTATATTAATCCTCTAGATTCTATTAATGCCTGCCAAAACAAACAAACAAACAACAAACTTATCATTATCAATGTAGGGTTTGTGGAGATTATTAAGTTTTTCATTGAGAACATGAACCGATCGATGTTAGAGCACCGTTGGAAACCTGGAAGCACTGAACGGCCAAGTCGTCCTATTAAGGGACACCTCAGCAGCGCGCATCCACGATGCCGCTAGCGAGATTCGAAATCATGGCCTTTAGTCTTGCGCGCGAACACTTAACCTACTGAACCACTGAGCCGGCCGGCATCCAATGGTGTTAGTGTCTAATATCAACCAATCCACGAAATCGCGCGACCATCTTCCATTTTACTGAGGTAGTACCTGTCTCTAACCGACGCGGATTAGCTCCATTGGTCATGGCTTAATAATCTTCACAACCCCTATACTGATAATTAACATGTGCTCACTAGTGACTAGCTTCGTGAGGGAATTCTCAAGATTCTAGTGAGAAGCCGTGACCAGTGGAGCTAATCCGTGTCGGGTAGAAACAGGTGCTAACCTCAGTACAATGAGAGATGGTCGGCTCATTGGTTCAGTAGGTTAAGTGTTCGCGCGCAAGACCGAAGTCCCTGGGTTCGAACCCCGCGAGCAGGATTGTGGATGCGCACTACTAAGGAGCCCCGCAATAGGACGATTTGGTCGTCCTGTGTTTCCAGGTTTTCAATGGTGGTTTAACATCAATCGCTTCATGATCTCAATCAAAAACCTATCATTCATATTCGTAAAATAAACAGAATGTGTTTATATATATATATATATATATATATATCCTTTCTTCTTCATGTCCTCTTTTTAACTGTTTTTTTTTCTCTTTCAGGTAAAATGCATTTATATCGAAGACATTCACAAGATAAATTAAAACAATTAAAAAATTCAATAAAATTTCGTGTAAATGTAACCTCATCTTCAATAGATCGTGAATTCATGCCTATAAAATATCATTCTGATAGAATAATACCATTTAATCAAAATAATAATAATAATAATAATAATAATAATAATAATAATAATAATAATAATGTTAATAATCCAAAATCATTTGATGATTTATATAAAATACATCAACCTGTAAAACGTAATCATTCTGAATTATTAAAATCAAATTATGATTATCATGGAAATTATTTAGATAAATCTAATGAATATATTCATTTATCAAATACATTTCATAATTTACTTGATTTTGGTCAAAGTTTATATGTTGGTTTAAAAAAATGGCAAAAAATAGATGGATGGCATTCAGTCATGGAATTATTACCCAATTCATCATCATTATTAAATAATAATAATAATAATAATAGTAAGGATATATATTCAACAGATGGTTCTGTCTATAGACCTTTAACCAATAATCATTATTTTGAAACACAAATTGGTATTAATCGAAATTGGTTAGTCATTTTTGCTCCATATACTATATCATCAGATTTAGCTAATAAAATTCTTTTAGCTATCCCATTGACATCAATATTTGCTTGTTTATTTGAACATAATAGAAAAGTGTGAGTTTTTGCTATTGTTGTTTTTGTTGTTGGATTTATATTATAAATTGGTATGTATTACAAGAGTTTATATAAAAGCACTTTTAAAATAACATTTCTTTAATTGATATTCGTCTATATAGAGTAAATATAACTTCTAGGCGCCACAATTGATTGATCGCTGGGTGGTGATCAATGTTATGCTTGTAAAGTCATTATTTATTGCAGATCGAATGCTATCGATCATGTTTTCAATGTGTCCACCAGTCTAGGTGACTTGACACTGCGTGCACTATATATTGACATTAGATGGTGGTTGAAGGTAGTCGACCCAGTGATCAAGCAGTTGTGATTACATCTCAGATCTACAGGAGGTCAGTCGCGGCCTGGATAGGTCAGTGGTAACATCTCTGACTGTGGAGCTGGGTGGCACGGGATCGAATCCGCCAGGGAGCACCAGTTCCTTCAAGATCACAGGTGCACCTTGCTGACGAGTGCCAAGTAGCACGAAACCCGGGTCCAAGGTTTCCTGTCGACCACCTCCAACCATCATCTAATCTCAATAACTTCTAGGCGTGTTAATCAGTTGATTAGTTTAATAATGTTCGAGCAATAAACTAAAATCTTACACCGATTATGTACTATCTGTGAAATTAATCAAACTGACAGAAAGATAACATCTTTTCAGGAATGGTGAAAAGCTATGATGCAGTATGAATAAATTTCGATTGAAATGAAAGTAGAGATTTTATTTCAGGTATTTAATTTATTGGTTGTTTGAATTATTGAACCACTATTAACAACATGACTAGAAAATCCAGGTTATCTGTACTTCTGTTATTTAAACTGATACAAACCTCAACATTCTTTAGTAGTTTAGATCATGAGTCGATTGAAGCTAGACCAACATGGAAAACCTAGAAGCACTGCACGGCCGTTTTCTTCAACCGAGTCAGTTGTGAGATAGGAACTCACTGATGACAATGGCGAATGTCTCGCTCAATTTTGTGGATTAGTTGAAGTTAGACATTAACACCGTTGGATGCCGGCTCAGTGGTCTGGTGGTTAAGCGCTCGCGCGTGAGACTGACAGGTCCTGAGTTCGGATCCCGCGGGGTGGGGTCGTGGATATGCACTGCTTATGAGTCCAAGAATGGGGTAAATCGGCCGTCCATTGCTCTAAGGTTTTCCATGGTGGTCTAGCTTCAATTGACTCATGATCTCAACTATTGAAATTACTATGATCTCCACAAAACCCCATCTAATACTACTCAACATTCTTCATCGATAGTAATCTCTAGGTTGTTGTTGTCTCGATTAAATTTATTTGACTGACTGTTTTTTTGATAAAACTCGTCAGTTAGATGTACCTTCATGTCAGTGTTTATGTTCATACTGTAATTTAAATTAACTATTTCCCATTTTAAACACCAACTATTTATTCACTAAGCTATTGTATCCAGATATCCACTAACACTTTCTCAACATTTGTACTGTCTATAATATTATTAATAAGAGCTTGAATTATCTCATTGTCAATATTCAAGACTGAAATGCAATTAGTCATTTGCTTATTACATTGTCATCATTGCTGAAAAAGAAATAGTTTTACACAAACACTATAGAAATTTAGATTAGATTGTGCATGGAGTCTTTAAAGAAATTTAAAGCAATTAGTCCCTATTGATAAATTTGCGATAGTGTAATAAGTAGGCGAAGTTTATCAGAACTATGTGATGATACATTAGCGCGCAATCTGATCACACATACTTTTGTTAAGAACATTTATATATGAAAATAAAATGTCAACTAAACAAGAAATGAGAGGTAAGAGGAGATAAGGATAATAAAGACATGATGTGAAAAAAAAATTTGAAACCTCATCACTGTGGATAATAAGCAAGTATTACCAAGGTAGGTTTAAGGTGAGAGCAAACTGTTTTTGTATACACAAAGGAGGTATCATATGGATAAGGCTTCAATAAACCTTAGTATACAACCTTTTACACTTTTGTACAACGCCACAAAAGCCGAGTTAATATCAATCTTATGGCCTGCTTCGATTATGTGTTTGCCGATAGAGGATGATGGTTGTTTATCCTCTAATTTTATTGGGTCATTCGATTCCTTTTGTTTCTTCAACCATTTAGATACATGTTCACACACTAATTTTAAAATCACGATTACTCCTCCCTATGTAGGTGTGACTACACACACACACACATTTTAATTGGTAAACACTATAGGATGTGACGTAATCGTTTTCTTGTCGTTTTGGTTTTCGATGAAGCATGAACTTTGTTGCTTCCTTGATAATGACCTTTACTGCACAATAAGTCTAGTTAATGACAGGCTTAATCCTTTGTATGAATAAAAAGCTATTTGAAACACCGCTAAATGGTAAGATGATGTAGACAGGCTTTTTTGCGCCAAAGCTATAGTAGATCTCACTGTATCATGGTATTTCTCTTATATATCACATAGTTCTGATAATCTTCGTCTCCTTGCTACTTACTTACTGAATTATTTTTTCTAGTTGGCGTTATTTTTCTTAGCTAGTTAGTTTTCTACGCGATTAGGTCGCTAACCCCATACCCAACCCTCCTCCTTAACCTGAGCTTGGGACCGGCAATAATTCTAGAAGAGCTACAGGCATAGTTATCTTCTTCTTACACTATAGAAATTTAGATTAGAACCGATGAATATGATGATTCGTTAATTACATTATATGATTAGTAAATAATAATACATTTCATTATTTATTTATTTATTTATTTAAAGATTACGTATCTACTTTGATTGTGGACAATATGTACAAATACAAGATATATATAATTCATATGATTCAAATGAACAAAATACATTAGAACAATTAATCAATTTTATTTCTTATTGTATATATCCAAAAGTATTACAAAAGGTAAATCATTACACATTATTATTGATAAACTTATTATTATTATTTATTATCCGTATATTGATTATTGATACTTGATTTTGTTCATTCTAAAATGTGGTACAGTCCTCATAAAATTACTTAGATTCACATAAACCTTACTTTTAATTCATTAAGTTTCTGTATGCTGCTATGTCATTTTCTCGTAACTATAAATACTAAGTTGTATGAATTCATTTTAGTATACTTCAAGTTTCTGTTAACGACTAACCATGGAAGTGTTATATACCCGTTTCAATTATTGATATACTCAATAGAAGTATTTATATTAAAGTAGTTCAATCGTTTTCAAATATCCAATGATTTTAAGCTCTTACTGAATTCATTGATAAATATATCCTGGTATATATAATACACAGTTGATTGATCACTAGGTGATGATCAATGTCATGTGTGTCCAGTCCTTATTTAGTGCAGATCGAATGCTATCAACCATGTTGCAATGTGGCCACCAGTCTACAGTAGGTCAGTTGCGGCATGGATAGCTCAGTGGTAACGTCTCTGACTGTGAAGCTGAGTGAAACGGGATCGAATCCGCCAGGGAGCACCAGTTCCCTCAAGATTACAGGTACAGCTTGCTGACGAGTGCCAAATTGCACGAAACCTGGGTCCAAGGTTTCCTGTCGACTACCTCCAACCACCATCTAATCTTGGTATATATAATATTTAGCATGGAAAAACCAAATCAATGTTCTTCAAAATATCATAATGGTATTGTACAAAGTTGATAGTAAATTAAGCGAGTATGTTTTGTACAATCCTGTACAATCTTGAATGAACACTCAGATGGAGAGAACTAATTTATTATATACGACACAATCACACAGTAGTTTAGTAAAATGTGAAAATCGTGCATCGAATACATCATTTGCACATTTTCTTTTACTTGTACCTTACAAGCTTCATTATTCCTTCATTTCTATTGTAAGCTTTATTGCCTTCAGTTTCTTGCTCTCTTCTCTTCATGTCAATATTATCAACCTTGTACTTGCAAACACTTCAATTCGAAATAATGTTACATACTACTTATGTCTCCAAACATAAGTAGAATACACCGAAATGAAACTTACTAAGGTTTAACTTAAACATGTCGGATAAATTAATTGTTTAGTATATTCATGAGAAACCCGAAAGCACTGGACGCCGTTCGTGTGTGAGGTCGAAGGTCGTGGGTTGGAATCTCAAGAGCGGGATCATGGATACGCAGTACTGAAGAGTCCCGTACCAGGATGGAGCGGTTGTCTAGTGCTTCTAGGTTCCCCATAGTGATATAGATTTAATCGAATTATGAATCCAACTATTCAATAAAGGTAAGTATTTATACTTTATATCAGGAAGTGTTGATTAAATTCAAATTTGATATATAGATTTACCTTATTAAAAAGACGATCTTTCTGAATAAATTAAGAAAACATTCATAAAATTATTTGTTTATAACTTCCATGTTTATTTTTAAAGCTATGAAGGTAGATTGTAAACACTTCGAATTCGTTTAATTGACTATGCACTTTTTAATCCACTTATCTTCTTTTTTTAATAAGACGATAATGTAAACAAATGGAAATATGAATTCGCATTAAGACTTATTGGATTAGTATAGGCAGAAAACTATTAATTAGAAGTTGATAACATACAATAAGTTCAGGTATTTTTTTCTGCTAAATATTGATTATTTAAGTGATTAACCACATAAACTACTCATTGGTAGTAGTGACACTGTCTGTAACGCTGAATGACATGGGTTTGAATATCATAAAGTATAATATTTCCTTTAACACTTCAGATACTTACTGTTGATGGATCTCAAAAATCAGCATTTGAAGTTCAAAACTTCTTATCGATTATATTTAAGTATTTATTATATATATAATATCACTGCTGAGGAGTCTCACAATAGGACGAAACGGCCGTCCAGTGCTTCCAGGTTTTCCATGGTGGTCTATCTTCAACTGACTCATGATCTTAACCATTGAAAGTCTATAATATCATTATCCTATTCAATAAGTACCATCATATTAGTAATAAGATTATCCAGAGTATATGTATATATGTATATAAATTAAAATCTATTTCAATAAGAACTTTCGTCTAAATTTGAACGACTAGTTTCACAATATTTGAGCGCCGAGTTAATGTGAGACATTAAAGAGGAAGAATCTACTTTAAACATTGTTCACGTTGACTGGATGACTTTATTCAGTATACAATAAAATACAGAACTATGTACCTATTTATATTCGATAATTTTGTTGTTTGATTATATTTCCCTTGAAAAAGCTTGAACTAGATTGCTAGGCAAAACGTTGAATTTTCTTCAAATTCATTCGCTGAGATTTTACAAATACATTCTTCCTCTTTAAAATCTATTTCATTTATGAATCGATTTTTTTAAAAAAACATGTAATCACCGTGAGAGGTAAATATTTGATGCAAATCTTTAGAAAACTCTTAATTATACTAGTTAAACCAAACTTCTCATTCTGTCCAATGATTTGTTATCAAGGTAGCGTTAGTTATAAAGAACTGAAAAAGAATCAAGGTTAATACTTTGATGTTAACAGCATGTTTATGAGAATATAACAAAGTAAATTACACTGACGTATACTGTCAACTTCATTAAAACAGTTTACATCAAACGATTTAAAATTTAAATTAGAGATTATTTTACAAGTCAACATCAAATTAACATCAAAAAATACATCTCCACAAAACCCCTTCTTATAATAATCATCTGCTCACTAGTGACTGACTTCCAGAGGCATTTACAGGAGTCCTAGTGAGAAGCCTTTACTAGTGGAGTTCAGTCAGGTCTGTTGTGAGATATCAACTCACTGAGGACAGTGGTTTACGTTGGTTCAACTTCGTGGATTAGTTGAGGTTAGACATTGACACCGTTGGATGCCGGCTCAGTGGTCTGGTTTGTCAAGCGCCTGGCTCGACACTGATAGGTCCTGGGTTCGAATCTCGCGGGGTGCGAAATCGTGGATGCGCACTGCTGAGGAGTCCCATAATAGGACGAAACGGCCGTCCAGTGCTTCTAGGTTTTTCATGGTGGTCTAGCTTCAGTTGACTATGATTTCAACCACTGAAATTTCTAAAATCGCCACAAAACCCCTTCTGACATTGACAATAATAAATTGCTCAAGGGTTTCAATAGTTTGATAACAATAGTGTAATATACAAATCATCCTTCAATTTATGATGTAGATTTGAATCCATCGTTTTGTTTATAAAGAATGCAATTCATTGGATATATTTTTCTAATTTACCAGTATAAATCTCTGTATAGAAAGGGGTATTCAATTTCAATTAGGAACCGATATTCATCGTAGTGAATTTCTGTTTACAATTTTTCGAATCATTTTAATCAGTAATGCTTAAAGTATAATTGTAAACTGTTTTGATACATTGTCATATCATAGTTTGAGTATAAGTGTGATAAAATCAAATATCGACTATGTGAGTATCATGACTAACTAGACACAGCCTATTCAACAGAATCTTGGGGGAAAATTTAATCAATCAATGGATCGATCTTATGCGGTTCGTGTAAAAGCGAATTCTGAGGTGTAATGTTTTGCCACCACAAAACAAGGTTTACATAAGGCTTCCTTATGTTTACAAGTTTTACTTTGTTACCAATGAGGAAAACTTCGTGAAAACTGTAAGATTCAAAAATAAAACGGATGAATTTCTAACAAAAACAATGTATTTTGTAACACTCCAAAGAGTAAAAGAATGAGATTTTCTGACGTTTTCTAACTCAGTATAAGCCGCTTTTCTAAAAATTTATTCTCTGAAGAAGTAGTATAAACTAAGTCATGAAACTTATAAGCAAAGATGGATAGTGGCTAGCAGTGGAATCCAGGACGCGCGTTTCGTCCTGTTTGGGACTCGTCAGCTGGATGTACCTGCATCTCAGAGTTGATCGATTTCAGTCCAAAAACACCAATGGGAAGATTCAAGTAAAACAATATCAAGTGAATTAAGTCATGAAACGTTAGAAAAATTTAATATTTCAACTCATCGGAATATTATTTTTATTACCGACAATTTACCTAATGCTAGATGTATTTAAAATTATCAAGTCAAACCTTGTTAATGACACCAGCAAACTCAGATGAAATTATGTTTAAGGTGGTTTTGATCTGTAGTTTATAGTTATTTTAGGGTGAATTAAATTTTTGGAATTTTCTTTATTGAGATCATGAACCGATTGATGTTACACCACCATTGAAAACCTGGAAACACTGGACGGCCGTTTCGTCCTATTATGGGACTCCTCAGCAGTGTGCATCCACGAACTCTTACGTAGGATTCAAATCCAGGGCCTTCGGTTTCGCGCACGAACGCTTAACCTTTAGACCACTGAGCCGGCATCCAACGGTGGGTTTGAATCCCGTGAGCGGGACTGTGGATTTGCACTGCTGTGGAGTCCCATAATAGGACGAAACGGCCGTCCAGTGCTTCCAGTTTTTCAATGGTGGTCTGACATCAATCGGTTCATGATCTCAATGAAAAACTTAATAATCTTCACAACCCCAGACTGATATTTGGGATTTCTTAAATTTCATCATTTACCAAGAAAATAGAATTATTCTGATACTAATTGGAAATACGAATCAAATTGGCGAATAAATAAGTAGTAACCAAATGATTATTTTAGAATCGACTTCCAAGGATTTCCGATGACCATTTTGAACTACAACATAGAAGTTATTGTTTTTAATTATTTTAGTGATATATATGATTAAACAGAACTGAATATCTTAAGCTTCAGGCGGCCTGCTTGAATATCTGAGCTACCTGTTCCTGCCATCTGAATATTACAACAAGTTATCTATTTTCTTGTTTGTCTTAACACATCATTTTGCCTATTACTCGCATAATCTACTCAGGTGCGTTTGTGAAAAGTTCACGACAATTCGCTGTACAACTTACAAAAGAGCTCAATCAGAGACATCGTGATTGCCAGCAATATGCATTAATCAGATGTCGATTCCTGAACTACTAACATCTAACTGGCGAGCACTCAATATTTATCGCAAGGATCAAGAAAGAAAGAAGAAAAGGAAACTGGTTGAAATTCATTGTGTTGAAAGTTCTATATGGTACCAAAAATATAATATTGAATAAAGCCACTAATAAGTAATAATAATAATTGATATTTAAGAAGTACATTGTTGAATAGTCTAGAACTAGAATGAAAAAACTGTTTGAAGATGAGTTAAATTATCCATTATTCTTCAAAATATATTGAATCGTAATAAAAACTGACTTGAAAATTAGAAATATTCCATACATTTTTTAAATAAACATTACTTGGCTCATACATAAATGATGAAGTCTATGTACGTGTAGGTCATATTACTCCAAGGTTACATTTCTTTTCATAACATTAAAATACAACCCGCATAATAAAGTTGAATTAAATAAATAAATATCAAAATCTTTTACTTGATTCCATGCAACCTGAAATTGAAAATTTATCAATATTCACTTGAAATGTTGTATAAAACTGTCACATATTAAGTCAATTCACTCTGAAGAAGTGGCCTACATTAAGTAACAAAACATGAGAAATGCAATTTTTCTACTTATTAGGATATAACATAAATATATTTGAAGGGGTTTTGTGGGTTTTATAGTAATTTTAATAGTTGAGATCATGAGTCGATTGAAGTTAGACCACCATGGAAAACCTGGAAACGCTAGACGGCCGATTCCTTCTATTATGCGCATCCACGAACCCGCCTCGCGAGATTAGAACCTAGGACCTATCGGTCTCGCACGTGAATGTTTAACCACTAGACCACTAAGCTGGCATCCAACGAGACTGATAGGTCCTGGGTTCGAATCCCAATAGGCGGGATTGTGGATGCTCGCTGCTGAAGAGTCCCTCAGTAGGATGAAACGGAGTTTATATACCAATCAAACAGACTACATCGTACCATAAAATATGAAGAAAAAAACCTTTGTGCAAGATTTGGCCAAATGTGGCTAAGAATATGGGAGGTAGTTATTAATAGGCAGGGAATAATTCAAGAATGGAAAATCGTATAATAACAGTTCATAAGTTAAAATAGAGCTTATGATAAGAGAAACATGTATATGAATAGTTTAGTTAATTGACAATTATAGGACAAAAATATACGTAAAGTATTGGTCCATAAATGGATTCCAAAGTTACCATTCATTATGCTTATCGAGATCTGACAGGTCCATTTCATTTGACCCTGAATTATATCATTTAAATCTTCAAATTAATAATGTATATCAATTCAATAACCTTGGATACAAATCTCACATTTACCTAGACAACTCATACTAATATTTTATGATATTATATACACAACTATAATGTCTCATCACAACTATTATTAATTTTATTGCCATTTAAGTTAATAATAAGTGATATTTTAAATTGTTCGTCTCAAAAATACACATTCCTATATAATAAATATAAAATTCAAATAATAAGCTATCATAGTGGAGAAGATTTGTAGCTCAGATAGATGATTTTAATGAAGTTTTGTTCTCTAAGCTGGATATTTTGATCCATGACTAATATAAGCTATCATAAAATATCATCTAGTCTATTTCATTTAGATACTAGTTACATTTGACACTTAAAGTTTTTTATATCTTTTGTCAAACTCATCTATTTTCATACAGTTTTTTATATTTTAAAACTTTGTCTACTACTTCTTCTTCAATTGTTCAATTTTTGTTATAGTAACCAAAAATTCAAGTATTCCTTGTTTAAAAAAAGGAAAGTCAACTGTCAATTTTTGTAACTAACCAATGTATACATGTATGTATAGTTTTAAGGAACCCAAAAAAAAACGGTTATAAATTTTATGAGATAAAGTTTTAGATTAAATAAATATTATCTACAATGTTAATGATGTTATTTTATGGTAAAAACAATTTATATAAATACAAAACTGAAACTGTTGTACAGAGCCAGCAACAAAAATAAAGGAAAAAAAACAATTTTCTCAAACTTTAATATAGTTCAATAACAAAATGCTGGGAATTTATTAGTCATGATGTTTTAAATAGAGATATTATTTCTTGAATACTTTACAACACTTGATATGGAGAAGAACTCACTCTCTGTACCAAGATTTTTTTCAGATGATCATGCGGTAATAGGGCTCTACCCAAGAAGATCAGTTGACTTTCGTTACGTGATACGGCAGTTTTAAGAAGTAAGGGAACCTATGCGGATGTTCGGAACTTAGACCAAATTAATGGGTATTAATCTATTTATTTGAACACATAAATACTGGTACAGGAGAGCACCAGATACATATGCCCCACACAAATCGCATTTGATTTTTGGGAGAGCTGTGATACTGCTCGAGTGCCCAAATCGAAGCAGGTGGTTGTCTTAGGGGACCACATTCGGAGCCTTCGACCTAAAGGTCTGATCCACAGGGCAGTGGAGCAACGTAAGGAGATGCAGTCCCATGGTAGCCACTGACCAACGATCAGTTCATACACCATCTGTTCCCTCAAAGTACTGGAGCCCATGTGCACCATTGGTTTGGAATCAGGGTTTCCCAACTCCCCTAGGTGGACTCTCCGTGTCCACCAAACCGGTTAAAGCATCGGACATCCGCTTTTCGTCCTCTCAATTTCGTAAACAACACCCCCGCCACGAGAATGCAGTGGGTAGGATTTCCCTGGCAGAGGCTATATACACGTGGCCATGTGAGAGAATTTCGAGAGGGAGAACGGACTCTCCCCACTCTCGGCCGTACCAGGGCATTTGGAGGCAGGTTAATGGGTACGAAGGGTTTACATAATTACGTTTAAAATACACATCAAACTAAGGATAGTGGAGGGTTACTATGTTGCCCAATCGGTACTAGAGATTTGCAGATCAGATAAGAAGAACCATGTTTTGTAGCTTTTCTCTAATCATAATCTGTTTCTGTTATCCACCAACTTGCGGAATAATCATCGTCAATGTGCTGCTTGAAGTCTTCGCTCTACAATTCAAGCGGTGAATACAATTAGTGTTTCTAGATATAATTCAATTATCACTATGGACTAAGCAAATACGATGTTAGCAATTACCTAATGATCAATTAGTTTCATCAAAAATTAAATGAGACTCAACAGTATTACCTTTGGTATTGAATGGCAGACGTTTGTGTCCCACTGGTGAATACCAGTTTCCTAATAATTCCTCATCCACCTTTCCAACAAGTAACAATTTGCACGAAATGTAAATTCAGGTTAAATCATCCATTGTACAAAAAAAGCTACTTACAGACTAGTGACTTAAATTGCTTAACTGAAATAAACCTTCTGCTTGTGTAGTATTAACCATGTTGACTTATTGAGGAATTCACAAACGTATCTAATATCAATACATAAATGTTGAAAGTTTGTAACTATTTAAAGGTATAGTATAAATAATACTATGGTGTGTGCTACTTATATTGACATAAGTAGTATACGATATTAGTCGTGAACAGAATGTCCGGCAGCAGAGAGACAAGAGGATCGAACAGTAAAGAATGGAAACAGGATGCAATTTGTATGAAAGTGCAAGGACAATGAATTCTGAGTCGTTCTGAGACAATTGGTGGAAATTTTGCAAATTACGTATTCACTATTTGATTGTTAGATTTTATTAACAAGTCCTGTAATTTTGTGTTAAATACGTTCGATTGTCCCCACCCGTGTTCTGTTCACTACAATACTAGTATATGATCTTCCACTCAGTCTTCTGTTCTCTAATCGATAAATCATTTCTTAATTTATGAGTACATTAATACTCAGTGAAAAGTTTTATTTCTTTTATCTTGATAATCAATACAGAGAATAATATAAACTGTAGTAAATTAATTTTATTGTGTAAATGCTATCATCCTCACTTTAGTTATTTATATCCAAGATACAAATTACAGGAAATATCATTAGCGAATTGGTAAATATATATGTATTTGAAAAGTCAAAATATACTTTCCAAGAAATTGATTACTTAAATAAGCTTCAAACCTATGATTTTCATTACTACCTTGTTGTTTGTTGTAATCTACTTTGTATGATTTTGACATATATATATATAAACTGTTGCTTGTACAAGATTAATCTTCTAGTAGCCAATTCCTAAGAATACTCTCATTTAAGTAAATTTATCCTTTACAAGCTATGTTATCTAACTCACAGTAACAACATCACTTCATGTATACTCAATGTGTATCCTGTTATATCAACTCATCACAGTTTACTCTTTTCTGACTATGGAGAAACCAGCACATTTCCGGTCATTAAATTATTAGAAGTCACACAAAAGCTAATACACTACATATACACATAAGTATACAAACTATGACGATAATGGATACATAGAGACTTATATATATATATATATATATATATATATATATATATATATATATATATATATATATATATATATATATATATATATATATATATATAAACATAACTATGACATTAGAATGGATGATGATTGATAAAACTTTGATATTTTGCTATGTATTAATTAAACTGGTAATACCAATAGAATACATATAATATATCTCTAGTACTAATGAATAACAAATAATATGATTGTAATTTCAATAGTAGAAATCATGAGTCATTTGAAGCTAGACCACCATGATCTAGTGGTTAAACGCTCATGCCCAAGACTGATAGATCATGAATTCGAATTCCATGAAGCGAGATCGTGAATGCGCACTGCTGAGGAGTCCCACAATAGAACGAAATGGCCATCCAGTACTTCCAAGTTTTTCATGCTGGGCTAACTTCAATCTCAACTATTGAAATTTCTACAATCTTCACAAAACCCCTTCTGATACTAACATGACTGTATTAATTAAACTGGTTACACCGGTAGAATTATTCATTGATCAACTTACAATTTCTTCTAATTTTCTTTATCTTTTTTCTCCTTTTTCTTTTTCAGTGTAGTCAAGTTGTAATGAAAATTAAAAATAATTCAATTCATCACAATGATCATGATATAAATAATAATGAAAAATCTCTTATTCATCATATTGATAAAACTAATCATGATAATCAATTACAAGAAGAATCAAAGAAATCAATAAATCAACAATCAATCAATAATACTATCAATAATAATAAACATTCAATTATAATAAATAATAATAATAATTGGTCCATATCAGAAATTGGATTAAGTTTATCATGTTTAAATCCTAATGATAATTATAATATTCTTTATTCATCATCTAATTCATTATCATTATTATCTTATTCATCTTATTTATCACCATTTAATATAAATCCATTTCCATATATTATAAATTTACAAAAAAATAATATTGATTTTAATTTAAATCAACAAATCAATAAACAAATTTTATTACAAATTGGTTCATATCATTTACCAGAATTAATTCGTTATATACAAAGTAAAAAATCAATATGGTGTTTACAAAAATTAAATATATCAGGACCATTTTATAATTTATATTTTCCATTAATATATGATTTACAATTTTCAACATATTTATTAACATTAATTAATAAATTAAAATTTTCTAATATAATTAAATTAATTATATGTGATTTACCAGAAATTGAAATATTAAATCGTGCACGTATTAGATCACATCGGAATCAATATGTTAAATATTATATTAATAATAATAATCATAATCATAATAATAATCATAATGTTCGAAAAGATATACGCTTTTCACATCCTCCAACATTAAGCACTGACAATCATCCTCAGCAACAACAACATCAACAACAACAACAACACCGCCATCATCACCGACATGATGAATGTTGTGAAACTTCTATAGAATTCATTTCATCTAAAGATAATTCATTATCATTATATCATTTACCGCATATTATAAATGTATCTAATATAGATTCTAATGAAAATATAAAAATTAAAAGAAATTCACAACATTTTATGAAATTCTATGGAATTAAACAATCAAAGTAAGTAAAGAAAATATTTTTTTTGAAAAACAGAAAAAGAAAGACAAAAGTATGAATAGAATTTCAACAGTTGAAATCACGAGACAATTGAAGCTAGATCATCATGAAAAAACTGAAAGCACTGGATGGCCGTTTTGTCCTAGTATGGGATTCCTCAGCAGTGCGTATCCACAGTCCCACCTATTGGGATTCGAAGCCGGGATCTATCAGTCTCGAGAGCGAACGTTTAACTTTTAGACCATTGAGCTGGCATCCAATGGTGTTAATGTCTAACTTCATCTATTCCACAAAATTGCACCACTGTACACCATTACTTTAGTAAGTTGATATTTCATAATAGATTTGGTTGAAATCCACCAGTAACGGCTTCTCACTAGAACTCCAGGAAATGCTTCTGGATGTCAGTCACTAGTGAGCAGATGAGTATTATAAGAAGGGGTTTTGTGGAGATTTTGGAAATTTCACAAGTCGAAATCATGAGCCAACTGAAGCTAGACCACCATGGTGGTCTAGTGATTATGCGGTCGCGTGTGAGATCGATAAGTCCTGGGTTCGAGTCTCACAGGGGGCGGGATCGTGTATGCACGCTGTTGAGGAGTCCCATGTTAGAACGAAACGGCGTCCAATGCTTCCAGGTTTTCCATGGTGATTCAGCTACAATTGACTAAACAATAAATAAAATTGTAGGAATTTACCATATAGAATATTGTAATTAATAAATTTTAATTACTAAGTGTATTATGAATCAGATCAGTCGAAATAATTTTATTCCAGTTTTTTTTTATTTATTTTATAAATGGTAGATTTAGAAATGTTCGTATTAAGTTTTAATGGTAGATTTCTATCAAAATCAACTTCAATTTGGTTATTGATCATGAACTAGATCATTCTGTATATCATTAAAAATTAAACCGTAATGACATTGAATACGAAAAAGAGGATTTAGCGAAGAGAATTTTCTTTTCGATGAAATCATTTACTTAAGCTGTACATTCGGATATATATAGGTATATATGGAAAAAATATATCTATAGAAGGATAGAAAAGATTGCATCACCAAAATTGGATTCGAGAATAAATAACTAATGAAGTTGTGTACTAATCAAGGGGTAAGGAAGAAAATAATTTATAGGTTAGATAATAATCCAATTGACAGATATGAAGAAAAGTGACAAACACAAATAGGTCATAATAATAGACTGAATAATAATCAAGAAAACTTGTATAAGGTAATAATAATAAATGATTAGAGTTTAAAATGTAAAACAGTAATTTAAAAGAAACAACCCAGAAACATACCCATCAAAGGAATTAGGGCCAGAGAAGGATGAGAGGTTGGACAAATCGTTTATGCACGTAAAATTCAGGCTTGACTTCATGGATTGCCAATACCTCAGCAATGCATAAAATATTGATTCGAACCCCCCTTCGATCCAGTTCCTTTGACTCTGTAAATTACTTTAAAATAAGAGTCCTTTGGAACGATGTGTACGTAACCTCATTTGTTATTTATTCTCGAATCCATTTTTGGTGATGCAATCTTTTCTATCCTCCTATAGACATATCTTCCATATATAACTATATATACGAATGTACGGCTTAAGCAAATGATTTCATTGAAAAGAAAATTTTCTGTTTCTTTTTTTCTCTGTATATGTATATAGTCGAAACATACTACTGAATAAACATAACATTTATGTAAAAACATTAAATTAGTATGTTTGTAAGGCCCTAATGAGTGGAAAAATTAGTTTCTGACGTTTCGTAACTCAGTGTAAGCCACTTCTTCAGAGAATAAATAACCAAATCAAAATTATTTCAAGTTTAAATAGTACAAAGGATTTGTTCAGACCTGTCTTTTTATTGAACTCACATAATATTCTGGTGTTGTTCCGTTGTACTATTTAAACTTGGATTAATTTGGATTCGGTTATTTATTCTCTGAAGAAGTAGCTTACACTGAGTCACGAAACATCAGAAACTTTAATTTTTCTACTCATTGGGATATTATAAATATTTTAATTTTATTTATAACAATCTGCTCAATTCTCAGTTTATACGAAATTATCAAGTCAAACCTTGGTAATGATACCTATATATGTACAAACATTAAATTAATTTTAAGAAGTTACAATACCTCTTTTATGATGTCTTCTGCCACCGACTTTTAAGATTAGGAAAGTGTAGGGATAATTCAAATTACTTTCTATGAATCAATAACTTTGAAGTCCTAGAAATTCTCTATGCGATTGAAACACACATGAATCAAATATTGAACTTTACTCTTATTTCCAAGGTGAATTAGATGAATGAGTGATATTCATTAAAAATTTAGGTAAATTTTCGGAGTAATTTCTTCACAAAGCATAAACATCTTATCAATATTATTTTCAATATATGTTGCTTGTCAAGAAAAGAAGAACAGCTAGTCATCTACTTAAGGTTCCTCTTCCCAAATTTATTTCACTGGATTATACTCTTTAAATAACATCTCCAAACCCTAATCTTCCCGATTACTGCTTATACTCTTACTACCTCTACCACTACGGGATTTGAATCGACAACTGCATCTCTGTGCTAATGTGGTATGGCAACTCGAACTGATGTACGTACGTACGAAGTTCTACATTGTTACTGACTGACTGACATCTACTTAAGGATGATATCAATACATAACTCAGTCTGTTATAGATTACTCTTTCAAGCTTATGTCAAAGATTTAAAGTAAACTAGAAAATTCACTACTCGCATCTAATGAAACTAAAGTTTCAAATAATTAATACATTCAACCAATTCCAAAACGTACTCACAAAAAGTAAATAGAGAACTGTCTTCTTAATGATTTAAAACATTCAATTATTGATAATTTAGTGATAGAATAACATGAAGAAATGGTCATGTTAATGAATTGTAGATAGGCCATAAATTTAAGTAGTGATTAGTCATGATAAATCCCAAATACAATGAAACACATGTCCTAGATTCCTCAGCTAGATACCACTTGACTATGTATATAAAACGCTCATGAATCAGCGGCTATATCAAAACAATTCTTATACGATTCATGTATACTTATAAAAGATTGACCAAATACAGTTCTAAACATCAGTGGGATGTTTTAAACAACCAATACAAAAATGTGTTAAAATTTATTCATCATGATTTATTTACCTAAATTATATAAATATTCCTAAACTTATTTGATATAATATGGATTTTCATAGTAAACTAGAAAACATGTTATTTTGTTAACAAATATTTTAGTAGGACCCTACATTTTAACGTCAATTAGACCGGACGATGTTGTCTACGCGGTCACCGATTTCGTGGCCCATAATCTGACTTTAATTAGATCGTATGAATGATTGTTATTGAATTACACATGTCGGTTATCCTCTTATATTCTATCGACTTAACTCGCGTTAGTGAATAATCGAATTAAATAAGTCAATAATGAGAATGGACTTTTGAATATATATATTGGATTTCGAATATGTATTTTTTGTACACTCGTTGATCAGAACAGACAACCAGAGAATCGCAGCGAATGAAACGAAGAGAGAACGAAGCGAAACAAAAGGACACTCAGTGGAGGCGTGTGAGCCAACTCTACTTAATCAAGCGTTAATCAATATTTATAGTTATGCAAAAATAAGCTAGAAACATGTGATGTGTAGAATAAGAAGTGCACACACATACGCCCATATAAAAACAGTCACCGTTGATAAATGATTAAAGAAAAAGGTTAAAACATGACTTCAGAAGAATGGATAAACTGGCCTTTCCAGAAGCTAGAATAAGTTATATGGGCTTAACATAGTAACCGACACTACAATTCCAAGTTCATTTTAAACAATGACTTATTTTCAAACTTGATAAATTGACTGACAATATTAGTGTTTTTCTATCAAAATCTTTTCATTATAACTCTTAGTAATTCTCAGATATCAACTGGAGACATATACTAGAATTATGTTGAAATTTACAGTCTAATGTGCTCTAAACATCATACTTTTAAATAAACTAAGTTATATATTTATGAATCAGATAGGAACTACAAAAAACGATCATAATTTGCTGTAACGTCATATTACTTAATTTCTATTTCCTTTTTTAATATTCAATTACGAACAGTTATTGAAATAAAAAGTAGCTTATATACTACCACCTATATAATGGATCATCTCTAAATACGAATATAAATAATAATCATCAATTTAATTCGAGTTAGATAGTAGCTAATAGTGGAATCAAAAAGGCGCATTTTTCCCTTCATTTTAATTCGTCACCTCGATGTATTCACATACCAATATAAACACCGACAAGTAGCATATGGGAATAAGAGCACTTTCTGAGTTTTACGGTTAACCACTTTCGAAATTTGAGTAAAATTTGTGACTAAATAATCATATTATATTCTATTTATAAAAAAATTCGCCCATCTATAAAAACATAGATGAGTGCCTTAGTTCCTTAAATGTACCGCAGTATTCTAGGTCGAAGTAACCAGAATAACAGTTCTGTATATTTAAGTAAAAACTACTTTCTCATATTAGTAAATATTTTTTTAAAATAGATTTTTAAGTCGACTAATTTAACCAACAAAACATTTTCTATGAAAAAATATATCACATCAAGTCAGTTAGTCAGTCAGCTACAATGTAGGACCAGGCACATATATGCATCGGTCCAAGTTGCCATACCTCATTAACACAACAAGATAGACATCGGATTCATAAAAGTAGTTAATTCAGAGGTGGTAATATATAAAAGAAAGATTGCATATAAGGATATAGTACGTGAAGAAAGAATTAGTTCGTAGAAAGAAAGATATGAAGCGATTTTAATCTCTTAGTTTAAGGGAAGACAAAGAGTGTATACACCGACGCCATTGTGATCGATTCTGAGCCATGTCACCAAGAGTCTCCAACCATTGGTTACGATAGTCACGCGGACCCCAAACAAGTAGTCTGCATCTGCCAACATGGCTCAGACTAGAAGTTGGTGACTTCAGGCACTGATGCCACGTTTTGATTTGGCCGCTCCTAACTTTCTTCCAACCATCTCCAACGCCGGTTAGCATTGCACGTCGTGGTGTCTATTCAAATTTCTGAAATTATAAAATCGACCTTGGTACATGAAATAAAAAGATCGCGTAAATAAATTCTTCTCAAATAAATGGGTTCTCAACAATTTATGACTTATAATTTTGACATAACTGTATCACACTACATCATCATTCGACTTCATTGAGCGGAGTACTTTAAGAGGTATAACATATATATTAAACAGCCTTCCAATACGTAATAATTTTAATAGTTCAGATGTAACATGGAGATGGTTGAATTTCACATTTTACATCACAAACTGACCTTATTTAGACTCCATAGCGGTGAGCACTCACGACCCTTCGGGGATTGTGGATTTCAGTTATGTTGAGTGTGAGATAGTTGCTTATCAATGATATTACAAGATCAAAGAGTAAGGTCCCAAAATGATTAGAGTTATGCATGCAAATCACCGAATACCGGAGTAGCGATCTAAATATTAAGTACTCGTCATATAACCCGAAGCGACTGGGTTCGATCCATAGTCAGCATGTGAATGAGCACCAACGAGGAGTCCTATACTAAGGTGAAAGAGCTATTCAAGCATCCTATTTTTCAGTGATTGACCAATTAAGATAAATTCGTGATTTGAGCCATAACATTAAATTACAATTTAAAAAGTCCAATGATTTCTGGAAATAATTCATTTATCTTCAATGACCGAATTTTCGACCCAAAACATCCCAAACATTCAGCCTGATCTGAAAGGTCCAAATGCATGACTAGTATTTTTTAAATTAAATTAACAACTCTGCATCATGAAGTTGTAAATTTAGTAATTTACTCATCATAAAAATGTGATAATAAATGGGTGAAAATTAAAACTACTTAGTATCTTTCAATATATTTAACATTGAGTCAACCTTTAAAATGTTTTTCTGGTCAAGTTATCAATTAATTAACTTTTAGGTGTATAAACTGAGATGAAAGTTTTCGATTAGTTGGAGATAGTAAAAAAGAAACCCCAGACCAAGGTTTTGTGTTAGTTGTTATCTGCAATCTATAAAAAAATTATTATCCCTAGGAAATTCCAATCTGCGTCACCCAGATTCGCAGTCCGAGATGTAACCACTGAGTTAGTTAGACGCGACTAACTTTCCTGTGACCATCTCTAAATGCCTAACTTCTCAACCTAATACAAATGGTATTAAGTCATTTAAACTAGTTGCTAGATTGTAACTTGATGGATATGTTTCGATCAACACTGAAAGGCTGGATAAACATAACACTGGTCACCACTAAGTAATAAATCAATAGATATGAGAGCAGAAGTATAGTCTTATTAACTGTAGGGTTATTGCTTAAACGTTATCGATATGGTAATTAATAATTAAGTTCGAAAATTAGGTCCCAATTTCAAATGTTGAAAAGTAACCTGAACGATCTGTATCTATCACTTAATTAAATCAGATTTTTTTCATACAAGTGTTTCATTTCGCAGAAGAAGTTGTCTTTGGTTGTTGGCTGTCTTGTTTTTTTTTGTTTAACATGTTTTCATTGAGGTCTTCGTGATTCAATATCCATTAACTTTACTCCCCATATTAATTCAGTTTACTATTTAAATGAACATTAATTTTTCTTCATTATGAATATCGTCTCATAAAAGGAGGATCATAGTTAAACTCTTTCTGCTGAGGTTTATTTAGTAAGCGTATTATCCAGTTGAACACTCCAATCATAAGTTCTTATTAGTTAATACTGAATATTAACATAGAATGTAATATACAATAACAGTTTTGTTACTGTAAATAATTCATGAAGTTTGTTATAAAGACTAGTATATAGTTATTTTCAAAAGGGGTTTTGTGGAAATTTTAGAAATTTCAATAGTTGAAATCATGAGTCAATTGAAGCTAAATCACCATGGAAAACCTGGAAGCACTGGACGGCCGTTTCGTCCTAGTATGAGACCCCTCAACAGTACGCGTCCACGATCCCGACCCTCGCCAGATTCGAACCCAGGACCTATCAGCCTTGAGCACGAGCGCTCAACCACTAGACCACCATTAAACCACTGAGTCGGGATCCAATGGTGTTGAAGTCCCATACTAGGGCGAAACGGCCGTTCAGTGCTTCCAGGTTTTCCATGGTGTTCTAGCTTCAATTGACTCACGATTGCAACTTGTGAAATTTCCAAAATGTCCACAAAACCCCTTCTTATAATAATCATCTGCTCACTAGTGACTGACTTCCAGAGGCATTTCCTGGAGTTCTAGTGAGAAGCCGTTACCAGTGGAGTTCAGTCAGGTCTGTTGTGAGATATCAACTTACTGAAGACAATGGTGTACGGTGGCGCAATTTCGTGGATTGGTTGAAATATAGTTATTTGTTAATAAAAAGATAACTAATATAGTCATTTAAAAAGTGAAGAATTATGTAGAAAAGTGCAAATTAAGATCTTTATAGAAAATAAATCCATTGACCTATTTACAAAGTGAATACATTTTCGTTAATTTTATTATTATCACCATTAACTCATTATCAGATATGAACTCATGTGTTTAACTCCAAATCACAAGTTACATATGAGGTTTTACGATGTTGTAGTGAACAAGAACACCAGTGTGGACAATCGAATGTATTTGACATGAAATTACAGAGCATCTCAATAAAATCTGAGAACCATATAGTAAATAGTTAATTTGCAAAATATCAATCCATCGTCTCAAATTTGACTGTTCCTTTTGTAAATATCAGTCCATTGTCGCAGATTTCATTGTTCATATATTTTCATACCAACTGCTTTCCATTTCCGTTCTCTGCTGAAATACATTCTATGCCTGACCACCGTTATATACTACTTATGTGGATATAAGTAACCCACAGCGCAATGTTACTCACTCTAAGAAACTCAAGTAGATAAATTAAAGTTGAAGAATCTGATACTTAATGACTGAACATCAAACTGTTTAGTCACTAAGTTAGAGCTCTACTTTCAATTCTAGAAAGAACAGTAATATTTTCAATACTTTATTGATACTGAATTTTTGTTTTTTTTAAAAAAAACCAATATCAACTAATCGATGTTTATAAACATTTTCATTTTTACACCAGTCGAAAGTATCATTCATTAGATGTTCAACAAATCTTTTCATCAACTGACTTGTACACAAATTTACAATGTCAAGAAATAGCTGATAACAAATTAATAACCAAAAGTAATAATGAAAATTCAACTGATTTCACTTCAAATGGTTTACAAACAATGAATTTAATTGAAACAGCTAATTGTGTTCAATCAAGAAGAAGAACACGTAAACCTGAATTAATTTTCATGAAACAGTCAAATCATGTAAGTTTTTATTTTTATTTTTATATAAACCGGGAATTGTAATTTTGTTGTTGTTGAATAAAACATAATTGAAATAAATGATTTGTAGAGATTGTAGTACTTTTAAATAAAACTCATGAGTCAATCTAAGCTACACTACCATTGAAAGCCTGAAAGCAATGGGCGGACGTTTCATCCTAGTATGGTACTCCTCAGTAATGCGAATCCACAATCCAGTGCGTGGGACTCAAATCCAGGACCTTCAGATTCGTATGCGAATGCTTAACCTCTAGAGCACTATCTGTCATGATATTAAATCTAAATATGAAATTAAATTTTATGAAAATAAGCAAGACAGAAGCAATTGACGATAATAAGTGGCCTATGTTTCTAAACTGTCACCTGACGGTATAGTAAGATGACATCAGCCCATAAACTTCTCGAATGATAGGATATGCAGACTTCCTGATTGAAAATCAAACAGTATTCATGGCAACCGGTTGGAAACCTTGAGTTACAATTCTTTAGTTGGATCGGATCTCTGTGCTTTCGTAAATTTTAATATGACCATCATTCCTAAGAACACATACTTCGAATGCACTTGTTCCTTCTAAATTCTCTTATGTTTAGTCTTCCATTACGTTCACCATTATTTCTTACTCTAAGCCATTGATAATGTTATTTTCCTGTAACTTTGCTGATGTGAATTGTGCGAATTCAGACAGAATCACACTTATCCAAAGTTTTACATTAATAATGACTAAATGGTTGGCATACCTTTCATTTATTATCAATAATGAAATAAATAATAAGATAGCAGAATAACTTTTATCTTTTCGAATTTCAGAATCAAGACATGACATTCTGATTATAAAAGATGAATCCTCTCAAACCTAGAATAGTTTCAAAAATGAGGCATATATAAATTCAGGAAATTGTTTTTTCTAAAATCCCATTGAATAATACTAAGTCAATCACCAAAAAGATACCATATACTTACTTTATTGAGAATCATAAGAAATAGAATCAATTTTCTAAATTCAGATCAAATGGTTCATTCAAAGTTTATACCACTTAATTTGTGTTTAATGTGTTCTGTTAAAACGTGACACTATTTGAATAGTCTTAAAAAAAAGACACATCCTCAGACGTTGGTTTCACTCAACTTGTTGGAATTTCATTTATACATCAATTTATGAAATTTAACTTACCAGTTCAAATTAACTAATTTAAATGGAACCGAAAAGCTTCCAACTTTATGTCAGTTAGTATCTTAAGACATATATGTCTTTCATAAATATATTAACTAGGAGATAGCGTCATCCTAAATACTTCACGTAAGTGGAGTTTTCTTCTCTGAACGGAATGGTTTGGTCTTGGAACTTTAATTATTCTTTTAAACAACATCATCAGCACAAACTTTAGGTAGAATTGAAGTGTTCGAATTTCTCCAGATATGATTCATAGCTTGTCCCACCGATCTTGACTGGTTACCATCGACCTTTGGTCCGTCTGCTTGATCCGTCTACTTCTTTATTTTGATTGTATCTCCCATTGATTTGATTCTCAGTCCTAGATTTGTCCATGATTTTTCTCATCGGTTAGTAAATTGGATCGATTTCAATGTGTTTGTTGATTGCTGATTGACCTGAGTGCTATTGATGTTGTTCAGGAAGATAATTAAAGCTTCACGACCAAACTATTCAACTCAGAGAACACAATTTTCATGGATTCATTTCCACTTAACTATTAAAATTAATCAATATCTATTTTGATTTATTCTAATAGCAGATGGATTCAACAACTGTTAGTCTGCCAAGAAACGAAGAACTATGTTTGAATAAAGAAACGGTAATAAGAATATCCAACAGTAATCATCAAGGTAGTAACTTTTTTCACATATATGTATATATTTACTACTAATAGATAGCTAAAATTTGTTTTCAGTTTAAATATTATTATTAAAAGAAAGAATATACTAATCTACTATTTACTTCTTTTAATTTCAAGAATAGTTCACAAAATTCAACTTCATTTATCTAATAATCATCAGTAGTGATATCACAGTTGATATACAGACAGAAATAACTGACTTACACTTATTCCAAGTATAATTCCGACCGACATAATCATTCTTGATTACAGTGCATTAAACAAAAGATAGAATGATTTCATTTTAATTATCCTTAACAGCAGTTAAAATACGCAAACATAAGTTTAGAAAGATCAGTTGGAGGGATAAGATCTTCAGCTATAAAAGTAACAACTTATTTATTTATTTATTTGAACACATAAATACTGGCACAAGAGGGTACTAGATACATATGCGCCACACAAATCTCACTTGATTTGCGTGAGGGCTGTGATACTGCCCGGGTGCCCAAACCGAAGCAGGTAACAACTTACTAGAAAATAATTTGTAGAGGAAGTCTAAAAAATCAAGATTAATCAGTAATTCTTTGACTTTAAAAACAAAGAAAGTTTTTTAGTAAAGTTGAATTGTGCGAAATTTAGGACGAAAGTCTCGTGTTATTTAGGCATGGTTCGTTGGACGTATCTTCATACTAGTACTGATACTCACAAAAAAATCAAACCTCGTAATGCTCTCGCGTCAAGATTTTCAAAAACGTATTCAACTTGTATGATGTAAGTATCCAACCTGACTAAAATCATGTAACTAAAATCAGTATTAGCCCAGGATGTCTAACTATAAAGCCGAATAGCTAACTCAGTCTAATGTTTAATTAATTTTTATCAAGCGCTAAACTTAATCATTGTCTATATATAAGATATTACAGAAGTTGTTTAAAGATCTCCATCACAGCAATCTTAGCCATCCGGATTAAGAAACCGAAGCTAGGCGTACAGAAGAAATATCTTTAACCGCTACTCCTCCCCTGGCCAAAATCAAGTACAATTAATCAATAGTAATCTTAGCTGTTGAATAATTTAATTTGACTATTGTACTTACGACCATTCGTAATCAAATGTAATTGTCTCTGTTATCTTTATTCACAAACCTTTGTATTATTATTAATATTGGTTAAACGTCATTATTAATCTTCCCTATACATGATTCATTCACTTCGCATTTATTCCTCCTTATTACACGTAATATAGCCTTCCACTAAATATTTGACCGAATTGTTATTGCACTATTACTTCTCTCACCCTATATGACCCATATTTATTCTGATCATGGATCTTAAATCTTCACTTCACATAACTACAGATTCAAGTCAACATTCTGTATGAATCATACCAACATTAACAATTTTATTGTATGATGTTTAACAATCCTAAATTCACATACTTGAACATTAAACAATGTACTTTGCCCATAATCTGTTCATTTTCCGGATTATTAATCTGGATATGTGAGTTGTAGACCTTGAAGATAATTTATGGAAAAAAATATTCTTCATTCAAATATTACATTAGATTGTAATTTACACTGATCTAATTATTCAATTATTATCCCTATATGCAAAAACGTTTGATCAATCAAGATGATTTCGGAGTATCTAAGTAATTATCATCAATTTGACTTGAAAACAAGCCCCTAAAAACTTTTTCGCTTCTTTTTTTTCAGACAAAAATGAAACAAACAGTGAAATCTCTAATCAGTTTGAAACATGTCCAAGGAGTGTGAATGACCAGGTAATTTCTTCTTGGCAACTTTCTTTTCATAAATGTTTTTCAAAACTTAAAAGAAAACAAATTCATATAGATTATGGTTATCATTCAAATGATATTCTGGCTATTATCTTCAATCTAACTTGAGAGGAAGTGATAATATCCTGTTATCTCATCATTTATCATATATTATTTGACTTAGCTTAAATCGCTTTTACAATTGGACATCATTCTAAGGTGAATAAGTGTTAAGCGTTCGCATGTGATACTGAATCCGACGAGCGGGATTGTGGATGTGCACTACTGAGGAGTCCCAAGATAGGACGAAACGGCCGTCCAGTACTTCCAAGTTTTCAATGGTGGTCTGACATCAATCGGTTCATGACCTCAATCAAAAACCTAATAATCTCCACAACCCTATACTGAAAATAAATAGGTCATATCTTTAATGACAAAACACCTCAAATGCTTTAAATTGGTTTATTGATGTCTTCATTGGCTATTATCTTATATATTATATGGTCAAAAGAAATCAGTGCCAATTTCATAAACTTGTGATTATTCAACAACAAGACTTATGTACAAACTTAAACAAACGTTTACTGATTCAAACATTCAAGCTATCAACACTTAGTGATATAGTATAGTTAAAATGTGATTCATATCAAGAATTGAATAACAAAACGGTGTTCGTTTTTCAGTGACAGATTTACTTACAAGCTATAAATTCTACTATTCTGTAAATATAAAGTATCCAAATATATGTTGAGTAATAAAAGAAAAGTAATATTAACATTTAATGAAAAGAATTCTATACCTTATTAACAACCATCGTATAGCAACTCTCCTACAATCAATTTCGATTATGGTTAACTTTTTTCAAACCATTTTATTAACCTATTTAACAATGTTATTCCGAAAAATAACAATTCGTCTATTTCTTTATGGTTATTGTGATCATCATCACGTCTGTATAAACATGTACGCTTGATCACATGTGACGACATACACACATATCTCTCTCAAGATTAAATGTTAATCGCTTAAATATCGCTCGATGAATCAGTCTATTTCCCATATATATATATATATATATATATATATATATATATATATATATATATATATATATATATATATATATATATATATATATATATGCTCGAATCTTGCTAATTGCCTAGCTGCTCCTTGGTTCGATTTGACTATAAATTCACCTCTGTATTTGCTCGCATACACATATACTGCTCTGCTTTGAATTCGCTTAATGGACTTAGAACTTTGTGGTCTGTGTTATCCGTTTTTTCTTATTGCCTTTTGAATTCAAATATCGTTGGGACTTGTATAATAACGGTTTAAAAAAAGTAAGATTTAATATATTTCTTTCATTTTCAAATTAGTCAGAGAACAGCAGTTACATACCCAATTATAATGATGGTTATTTGGTATTTAAGTTTACTTTCGTGTATAACTTTTCACTGCATATTTTCATACATATTTGTTCCTATTAAAGTCATATCATTTACTTATGTTGGTATATATATATATATATATATATATATATATAGTAAACTTACTAGCTTGTTTTGAACTATAACTATCACACGGAAGGAAACTAACCAAACTTATCATTATTATCAATCCTTATTTCGGTATTATTTTAAACAAAACTATATTTACTAGTATAGGAGTTGTGGAGATTATTAAGTTTTTGATTGAGATCTCAGTGGTCCAGTTGGCTGAGCGTTCGCACGCGAGACCGAAGGCCCTGGGTTCGAATCCCGCTCTCGGGATCGTGGATGCGCACTGCTGAGGAGTCCCACAATAGGACGAAACGGCCGTCCAGTGCTTCCAGGTTTTCAATTGTGATGATCTAACATCAATTGGTTCAAGATCTCTATCAAAAACAATATTTTATTCACAGATTGAAATCATGAGTCAGTTGAAGCTAGATCACCATGGAAAACCTGGAAGCACTGGACGGCCGTTTCGTCCTAGCATGGGACTCCTCAGTAGTGCGAATCCACGATCCCGCACCCCGTGAGATTCGAACTCAGGACCTATCATGATTTCAATCTGTGAACTTTCTAAAATCTCCACAAACCCCTTCTGATAATATTTTATTCATCAAATGTAGCTTAAAATACTCGTTTTTTTGTCACATCGTTTGGATGGAAATCAAATGACATTGCCTAAAGATGAAACAACCTACTTGATAAATATCAACTGCTCTAACCGATAGTCCACGCTTCATCGTTGTTATTTATAACAAATTATAAATAATAGGAATAGACTATTTTTGTTTTTAACAATTAACTACACCGTCATTGTATAATTTAAAATATTGTATCATCATAGATGAATTGATATAAATATAATCAAAAACTATAGTAAACGTATTTAACAGGATTTATGCCCATCTAGTTCCAAAATTACAAGGTTAGCTTTAAATAATCATTCTCCTAAAGCCTGATCAACATTTAAAACTAAGTTAAGTAATTTGAGACTATAGTTTCATGGTTTACATCACTGACCGATTTTAGTTAAACAACCACAGAAGAATAGGAATGATCAGACAACTGTTTCATGCTAGTATTGAACTTCTCAATGGTGCCAATCTACAACTCCATCATTAGACATCGAACCCAGAACCTTAAGGTTTCATAGCAAGCACTTGAACTTCAGGCTACCGAATTGTCGTCCAATAGTTAGTATTTCTAATCTTAATTATCTAACAATATTCCATGACCATCTTTCAATGTGTATCTATAATCTCCCTGTAGTTTTAGACATGTTTCTTTAACTAGTGCCAAATGACATGGAACCTAGGTTCATGGCTTGTTGCTGACTTTCAGCCACCTGATACAATTGTAGAGTAACTTAAACTAGTGTCAACACGATCAATAATAACAACTAATTAAAGATCAAATAATGTTTTTATAAATAGACATAAGCATATAAAAGTATATTAACGCTTGTCTAATAGCTCCTCTTGTACCAATATGTTGATCTATGTGTTAATTCCACATAACAATGCTATCTCCTCAACATCTATATCATTTTTATGTAGTCAACACTGTTATGATTATCAGTTCTAAGAGGGAAATTCGTCGAGAAGAATACTCGTTATCGGTTATAAAAATAATATAAGTTTCATAACAGAATTCGTAATCATTATTAGAGTGATACTCCATACTTGTTACACAACAGTATCATTCATATAAATATAATGATTACATCATTTTGATTAAAAGTAGGGTAAGAACAAACATGGATGCAGAATAGTATGAATTCATATTATTCTGCATCCATGTTTGTTCTTGCTCTATTTAAGTTCATAAAGGGAACCAATTGCATAAAAGTAGGGTAATGTTCAATCCGACTAACAAACAAATAATTTCTATAGGTATCGTTACCAATTTTGAATAAACTGAACATTGGGTAGATTGTTATAAATCAATAAATATATTTTTGTAATATACCAATGAGTAGAAAAATTAGATTTTGGAGTTTTGTTCTCTCAGCTGGATGGTTTGGTCGTGGAGCTTTCATCGCTCCAAAATCATACACCTGAGCTACAAATCTTCTCTACCATCTGGAAAAATTAGATTTTCTGACGTTTCATGACTTAGTGTAAGCTATTTCTTCAGAGAATAAATAATTTCTACCGATTTTCACAGACAATCTTTCTCCTTTTTTTCTGAAAAGAACTATCTTAAATCATTTCAAAATAACTCTCCAATTCCTGAAAATAACAAAATACAAGTCACTAAAATATCTACTACAAATCAAAATGATTTAAGTGAATCTTCATTATCTACATGGAATCCGGATTCAAATAAAACTAATGATTTATCATTAAATAATTCATTGAATTCAAGTGTTGATACAACATTCCATATACCAGTGAAATGGAGACGAGCTAAAACTGAAAAAATTCATTCACAATGTAATACAGATGCTAGAATTATTACAATACGTCGTCGATTACAATCAGCTGGAACAAATACATGGAATACGAAATTACATGACAATACTACATTCAGTAAATTGGAACAAAGTCGGTAGGTTTGCAATTTTTATAACAGAGTATTACTCAGAATAAAAATCTAATGAATAAGAAAGCTAATAAACTAAGGTATTGGACTATAATATAAATAAGTATAATATAATTGATTTATCAGAAATGATCTAAATTTACTCGATTTTGAAATACACTATTTGTAAGTAGAAGTCTTAGTGATTCTATTCAATTGTTCAATCAGCATTAGATGAAGAATTCGAATCCGTAAAATTCAAATATCATAATCACTAAGTATTAAACTCTGGAGTTATCATGAGTTACAGCAATTGAATAAACTAATCTTAGAATGTGTACATCAAATTCTATATTCGTTTAATTAGTTGATATATACGGTGATGATTCAGTGTGGTTAACACAGAAGCACATACAAAATAATTCATTGTCCACCAGAACACTGTATTATTATAATTCTATATCGAGACCAATGAATAAGTGCTGAGAATATAATCATTCCATAGTTTGTTGTCATTCGTTGATTAATACAGTATTTATCAATTTCAGATGGTCACTTTCTATAATTGACTGGTACACGTGTTACGTATGCCCAACCACCGACTGCCTCGACGTACGATGCTCAATGGTATAGGAGTAGGTTGGAAGAAAGCTAGAGACGGCCAGACCAAAACATGGCACAAGTCCATGAAGTCACTGACAAGTGGACTGAGCCATGTTGGTAGGTGTAGACTACCTAGTTGGTGTCCGCAAGACGATAGCAACCGATGGTTAGAGAACCTGAATGACATGGTTCAAAACCGTTTGCTATGGCGCAGGTGCATCAACTCTTTGTGTTCTCTCAAATCCTAATTTTCTGAATTCTCCTTGCTTATTTTTTTTCTTTCCAAATTCTTCATGTCCCTTATTTTCTTTCCAAATTTATTTCACTGGATTATACTCCGTGAATAACATCTGTAAACCCTAATGTTTCCTATTACTGCTTATACTTTTACTACCTCAACCATTATGGGATTTGAATCGACAATTGTATCTCTGTGCTAATGAGGTATGGTAACTTGAACTGATGTACGTACATACGAAGTTCTACGTTGTTACTGACTGACTTAAGTAAGAATATATTCCTAAGGATATCTTTGTCAAGAACTTATAAAAATCAGTATGTTACTGTCCTCTAGCAATTGTTACGTAATCTCTGAGGGACTGCTCCCATGTGAAGAAGACCACTTCTAACCCAGTATCATTTTTTTTAAATACCTTCAAAAATTAAAATAAAATACATATCCAATTTCCCATAGTTTTTTATTCATCTATAACCAAAAAATAAATCATTCAATTAGATATATATTTTTTCTTTCATTATACTTTTTTTCTTCTTTTCATTAAAGATCAAATAATTTAACAGTGAATAGTAATATGAAATTCAAAAATTCTTCAATAGATTATATACCACTAATAAAACAAAAAAGTAGATTAAAAATAACTAAAGAAACTTTTACACAATCATCACACGATACAAATGAATTGAATAATACTACTACTACTACTACTACTACTACTACTACTACTACTAATAATAATAATAATAATAATAATAATAATAATAATAATACAATGAATAAATGTAATAGAGAAGTTAAACAAAATCTAACAAATGATCAATTATATGATTTAACAAAATTAAATGAAAATGAACTACGAAATTATTTAAGAAAAATAAATGAACAACTCCTATTAGTAAGTTCTAAGATGTTGTGTTCAAGTTCATTACTATACAGTAATTTATATTCTTTATGATATTGAAATATGTTCGTTTATATTTTTAGTATTCAAACTTATCAATATGGGCATTAAGAATTTTCTAGATGTATTATTTATTATCTATTTATTTAAACACATAAACATTGGTACAAGGAGGCACCAAATACGTATGCGCCACATAAATCATTGGATTTGTGTGAGGGCTGTGAAACTGCCCAGGTGCCCGAATCGAAGCAGGCGGTTTTATTAGGGGTCCATACCCCGTGCCTTCGACCTAAAGGTCTAACCCACAAGGCAGTGGAGCATCGTAAGGAGATGCAGTCCCATGGTAGCCGGTGACCAACGATTGGTTCATACGCCATTTTTTCCCGCAGGATACTGGAGCTCATATGCACCATTGATTTGGTTTGGAATGCGGTTAAAGCGCCGGATATTCGATTTTCGTCCTCTCAATTTCGTAGACAACACCCCCGCCACGAGTAAGACTTCCCTAGCAGAAGCTGTATACGCGTGGCCGTGTGAGAGCATTTCGAGAGGGAGGGCGGGCCCACCGCACCCTCGGCCATACCAGGGCATTTGGGGGCACATAGTAGTGTCTGAAATAGAAGTAAAGCGAAAGTTTCTGAGTCATTTACATGGGGTAGAAGATTTATTCATAAAGTTAGTGGCTGCTGTATTAAGTTGTTAATATAGTGTGAACTCAAGTAGAGTCCTCAAAACACACGAAGCAAAAGATTGAAAATATTCTATTGCAACCCAGATGCATCTATTGTTCATTCCTTTGTAATTAGTAATCATAGTACAAATTACAAATTAAACATTTTTATAGCAACCATCATTCGTACAAATAAACATAATGTCTTATACAGAATCATCTTGACCAAAAATTCACATAGTATTAACATATTCAGGCCTATTATGATTTTGTTTTGTTTCTATGTACTATTAAAACCTGTGTTGATTCCATTCGGTTAATTATTTATTTACTCTGAAGAAATCATTTGCGTTGTTACGAAACATCAGAAATCCAAATTTCTACTCATTAGGATAATGTAAAAGCATTCTTATTTAATAATGTTCAGAAATCACTTTAAAAAGTAAAAATGACTTTAAAGTATTAGAATAACTGTTAATTCTATTGAAACGTTCAATTATACGATAGAATGAAGTGGGAAGAATTAGTACCCAAAACAAAACGTTTGTCTAAAAAAAATGATGGTACTACTACCATAAAAATATTCGCAAAATAATTACAAACCTTAATTCATCAGTTGTTTGTGGCGTTTAACCTGTCAGTGTGTGTATAACAACTGCAAAATGAATATTTATGATTAACCATAGTATAAATTACAGCAAGTAGCTGTGTGTAAAGTCAACAATGTCAGCAATAGAAATGGAGAGTAAAAATATAAAATATGGATGGAAACTATTATACTTAAATAAAGATCCAGTGAATGAGTCAAAATTGTAAATAACTGTTATCAATGCTAAAAGTTGTTAATTACAGTAACAAATTTATGTAAATATTTAATAACGCCATACAACGACAGAGAAATACGATACACCATATAATTAAAATGAAGAGTGAAACTAGCTACTGAATATTATTAAGTAGTATAATTCCGCTAAAAAATGTTATCGAGAAGTAAGAAATGAAGGTAAGATAGGTAAACAACAAAAAATAATAATTAAAATCATATAATAATAATAATAATTAAACAAATTATATCATGCCACTAATTAATAAAAAAACAATCAAAAGAAAGGGAACACTCAATTGATGTGAAAGTAAGTTAATGATCAGATCAGAATGGGTTTTGTGGAGATTGTAGTAATTTCAGTAATTGAAGCTAGACGAACATGGAAAACCTGGAAGCACTGCACGGCCGTTTCGTCCTATTGTGGGATCGATTCTGTTGTGAGATAGTAACTCACTGATGACAATGATGGATGCGTCGCTTAATTTCGTGGATTAGTTGAAGTTAGACATTAACACCGTTGGATGCCGGTCGAGTGGTCTAGTGGTTAAGTATTCGCGCGTGAGACTGACAGGTCCTGGGCTCGAATCCCGCGGGGTAGGGCCGTGGATGCTCACCGTTGAGGAGTTCGAGAATGGGGCAAAACGGCCTTCCAGTGCTTCCAGGTTTCCCATGGTGATTTAGCTTAAATTGGCTCATAATCTCAACTATTGAAATTAATGATCAGCTTTCAAAACCCTTGCTCAAACATTTTGGATAATCGGGTAAAGCAGCTGCTTAGGCATATTGTAGGTCAAAGCTATTAACTGTTTTAAGCTAATTTTTATTAAATCAAATCAGAAGATAGCATCAGTGTAGGACTACTAGTCTGTGATTATGACCGATTTACTTCAAATAACAGGTACGACAAAGAAATACAGTCGAGCATACTCTGTGAATAGTCGAATAGAAATTATGGGAAAACATGAGGTCTAATAAATATCGTGTAATCTATGAAGATACTCAACCTCATGGAGTGACTTCAATTATATAAACATTGAAATTCAGGAAATATTCCCATGTTTGGCAACTCTGAAACCACTTTCGCTTCTCCACAGAGCAATTCACTGCTACAATAATTATATACATTATTCTTAATGATCACTATGCTTAGAAATACCAATCTTCAAATCGTAAAATTAATGAAAATCTTCTACTTATTAGGAACAATCCCGTCGAAATCATTTAGCAAATATGTGTGCTGATCTACTGGAGGAAAATCGTAAACTTCGTAACGATCAATCAGACAATATGAATGAGCAAACAGAACAACAAATGGTAACAACTAATACTTCTACTTCACTGATGAATTAGCCAAATGAACCAATTTATAAGAATTACAAAGGTAAAAAAGTCAAGTTAAGTTTTATCAATGGGAAAATTAAACAGATAAGTAGTAATACAAGCATATGGAGGAAATCTAGGGTAAAATCTCCTAGTTTTAATAACGAGACAGATTTGTAAATGATATATATATATATATATATATATATATATATATATATAACATCATACATGTACATATAATTATTCAAACAGTATTTTTCTGTAACAAATATACATTTCTACATATAGATCATTCTTTATGCACTGCCTTCATGTATAAAGATATAAACTACTGACCACATACAAATAAATGCAGTTAACCACAGTTTAATCGTTGAGTGATCTTTATTTGACGAGTGGAATCAGAAATGTGCATCTGCAAAATCGATAGAAGCATTATATTCAAACGGTAACAATACACAGTATAGATCCAGTCATCTAGTTCACTTAATGTTTTAGATGTTTGCCTAATGTCCTGTTTTTCACAAATCCAAACAACAATAGGAGCCCACTGAACCATTCAAAAGGATGAAGACATTTCAGCATAATACATTCGAGATTATCAAGATTTCAAGTACTAAATATAGTAGTTTATAAATGGGTGTTATTTCAACGTGACTAAAGTTGTATCATTTATCAGAGTGATTATCAAGAACTAAGGTTATTTAAGTTTTGGAAATAATTTATAGAATAAAAGCAAAAAATAACCAACTACTTTATTAAGAGACAAGAAATTTAGTAATCAGCACTTACGATTGTTAAAATCCAAAGAGATCCTAAGACCATGATTGGACATGACTCTTTTGTACATAGAAGTCTGGTTGAAAATAGTGAATTGCTATCGCCTCAGATGTACGAGAAATCCTTCATCTAAACCTTTTTTGATCCGTTTATACCTTGTAGATGATCATAAGCGATAATTCTTGCAATACCATATGACCAGAATTGACCATATGTTCAAGGATTGAGCTGTTGATCGATTTGCAGTCCCTTTTAGATGGTCATGCAAGATAATGCTCGGATATTAATCTACTAAATGCATGCTTTGTACGATCGATATAAACTGCTCCAAAAGAACAAGTAAATTGATAAATGTATACTGAGGTGGGCCAAAGCGGTAGTTCCCCCTTGACACATACCTGAATGAGTTTCTTGTTGGAGAAAACAGTACAGAGCTCTACTGAACAAAACATCTTTCTCAGAGATCTAGATGGTCTTTTCTTCAACACCGCAGTTGCTGTATCTCCTTTGAATTTATTACTCAAGAAAAAAAGTTCGAAACTATTGGAGTACATTAAAATAATTACCACTAACCGTGTATTTTTAACGACAAGGAAATATATACATTCACTGAAATTCAGAAACTCGTCAGTGAAGGTTAGAGTAGTAGGTCTTCTGGTTATGCTCTTTCCCCTACAAATGAACCTCTTGACAGTGATATTATGTAAATAAATTCACCATAAACTGTTGATAAACATTTGTGATCTGGTCTCATATTGTCCAGTGTCTATCAAACAAGTTATACAACCTAATCATGAAGTATTACAGCGGAAAGTTGTAAGAGTAGGGATTGTAAGTAATTGCTTAAATTTATATAAATGGTGTGATTATTCAGAAAAAGAAAACCGCGTTTATTAATGCAAAACCCCAGCGAAAATATAGCGAAACGACATGAAAAATGATTTTCTCATTGTTCTATCGAAATTTATAAATGGGATTAATTGCTTTAAATATGCCAAAATAAAAGCAATCTTTACTATAGGGAGTGACGTAGTGGAACGCGTTGACAACTTCACTTATCTTGGAAGTCTGATCAGCCCTAATGGGTTGGTATCTGACGAAATCTCAGCACGGATTCGAAAAGCTCGTTTGGCTCATGCCAACATACGTCACCTATGGCGAAGGTGAGATATCCGTCTATCAATAAAAGGACGAGTATACTGCGCAGCAGTCCGTTCTGTTTTACGGCAGCGAAACATGGCCATTAAGAGTAGAAGACACTCGTTAGCTACTAGTATTTGACCACAGATGTCTTAGAAATATTGCTGGCGTCTGCTGGGATCACCGGGTAAGTAATAATAGGGTATTAGGAAATGATGGCAAATCAGTTAATGAGGTTGTTAATCTTCATCGACTGAGATGGTTGCGCCACGTGTTACGTATGCCTGAACACCGACTACCGTGACGTGCAATGCTATCCGGTGTTGGAGATGGTTGGAAGAAAGTTAGGGGCGGCCAAATCAAAACGTGGCATCAGTGCTTGAAGTCACTAACTTCTAGTCTGAGCCATGTTGGTAGATGCAGACTACTCGATTGGGGTCCGCGTGACTATCGTAACCAATGGTTGGAGACTCTTGGTGACATGGCTCACAATCGATCACAATGGCGTCGGTGTATACACTCTTTGTCTTCCCTTAAACTAAGAGATTAAAATCGCTTCATATCTTTCTTTCTACGAACTAATTCTTTCTTCGTGTACTATATCCTTATATGCAATCTTTCTTTTATATATTACCACCTCTGAATTAACTACTTTTATGAATCCGATGTCCATCTTGTTGTGTTAATGAGGTATAGCAACTTGGACCGATGCATACATGTGCCTGGCCCTACGTTGCAGCTGACTGACTGACTACAATCTCAATGACTAATTAACCAATGAAAATACAAATTCAAATATAATAATAATTTAAATAGAGCAAGAATAAACATGGATGCAGAATAGTATGAATTCATATTATTTCGAGGTTTCTCGTCAGCTGCTTACAAACCAAAATTGTGATAGAATTTTTTACATGGAGATAGTGTGAAACAAGTGACATAAATGAGTGTAAATAACGTGATTACAATAATAACTATATATATATATGCTAGAAACAGGTCAGAGGTCAAAAGAGGGGGGTTAATCCAGGGTGGGTGGTTTAATAAATTGTGTGATAATTGTAGAGATCAATGGAATTAAATAATGATAAGGTAGATTACGTAATAATAATTAAATAGGGTTTGGAAAGTTAAGATGATTTAAGAGGATCAGGTGACGGAAATGTGTGAATAAAATTTATTTTATTTTAAGAATTCGGTAATAGGGGGGATATAAATGATCTTAGAATAAGTAAATGAATAAAATAACCAAAACACAAAACAAACAGAAACAAAAGGATTACCAGGGTAGTGATAAGTTTATTAAAGTCTCTTTTTGGATGCATAAGTCCGGTTTCAGTTTCTTAATTGCAATGGCTTCAGCAAAGCGGAGAGTGGTAGTAGTTCTTTGTCTATTGATAATTTTAAACGCGCGCATAATATCGACGGTATGCCCGGTGTCAAGTAGATGCCGAGCTATTGCACTGTTGAAAGCTTTAGTCCCTCGCAGCGTCAAGTTCTTCGGAATATGCTCAGAAATGCGAACCTGTACTCTTCTCTCAGTTCTTCCAATGTATGTGCTACGGCACGTACATGTGAATTGGTAAATGCAGTTGGAGCAACTGAGGGGAGAGGACTTGTCGATTTTCGTTTGTTTCAGTGAGCAGTATGTTTTCCATAACGTAGTCAGTTTGGCTGCCGGGTAGGTCACTTTTAAAGCAGAATTAATTCTGTGATTGATAATTCCGGCGACTTCATCTCCTTTGAAGCGTAAGGATAGGAAGCAGGTTTTCTTTTCAACTGTATCATGCTTAATTGGAGGGTTTGTATTAGCATATTTGTGGATGAATTTATCCGGATATGCATTTTCACGTAGGCATTTGTTGATTGTAGTAATTTCTTCTTCGAGGCATTCTTTTGAACAGATTTTTCGTGCGCGGTCAAAAAGGTTTCGCACAATACCCTTTTTATAACTCATTGGACAGAAGCTGTTAAAGTTGAGATAAACTCCGCTCCAAGTATTTTTGCGGTGAATGTATCTTTGTAGTGTACCGTCTGATGTTCGCCTAATTCCAATATCTAGGAAATGAAATTTATCATCAACTTCATGTTCCATGGTAAATTCTATATCTTTGTGTACTTTATTGAACAGACTAAGTAGGTACATGGAGTGTTGGTGATTTTTGCAGACAAGGAATGTGTCATCCATATATCTGCAGTAGAGTGTGGTACTGTCGATTGCGTGCTTTAGTTTCTTTTGTTCCAGATGTCCCATAAATATGTCGGCAAGAATTGGGCCTAGAGGGCTGCCCATTGCTATTCCATCAATCTGTCGGTACAGAACATTGTTAAATTTAAATTGTATGTTTTTTGTACACAAAAACAGGAGCTGTTTAAATTCCTGGGGTGGTAAAGGCAGGAGTTCTGGATATTCACATATGATCTCTGCCGTTTCTTCCAAGGGGATATTTGTGAAAAGCGAAGAGACATCAAATGAAACCATGAATTTGTCAGAGACATTAAGGTTATCAAGTTTTTGTACAAATTCAAAGCTGTCTTTCAAACTGTAGGCTGCTAGTTTTTTGCGGATTGGCTGCAAGCATCTAGTAAGCCAGCGGGCAAGTTTATGGAAAGGTGATTTGGCCATCGATAATATTGGTCTTATAGGGACGTCGGGTTTATGTGTTTTGGGTAGCCCATATAAGTATGGCAATTGTGACCCTTTTGGTTTAAGTTCGTTATACGTATGATTATCTATTAGATTTTTCTTAACAAGTTCTCTCAACTTTCTTAAGACACGTTTCTCTGTCGCGTCTGTTAGGTCTTTCTGGGTATTGTCAATGATAAATCTGGTGGAGTTATTTAAAATGGTCATTACCTTATTGATATATTCATCTCTGTTAAGAATGACTACACTGGAACCCTTATCCGGACGAAGTAGCATTATTGTTTCGTCTTTAGTAAGTTTTTCCAATGCTTGATGGTGGTCTTCGGTGAACACCCTTGAGTGTGGGATTGGTGTTGTAACATACTGGTTTGTGATATCCACTAATTTAGATTTAAACCAACTGTACTTTTCGTCGTTCATGGGTTTAAAGTCTGACAGTTGTTGATATAAGTATTCAAACTGGGTCTCAGTGTCTATTCTGTTGCATTTTCTTGGGATATGAAATTTGAATCCAAGACAGAGTGCTTCAGTTTCAATTCGATTTAGTTTTTTATTAGATAAGTTCTGTATGTATTTTCGTGGATTGGTAGGAAATGCCACGTGGTTTTGTTCTTTAACAAGTGTTT